GCCTCCTTAGCATCAGCTTCAGCCTGGCGAACTAGGAAGTCAATCTCAGCTTGGCTAGCCTCGTTGATACGGGGGTTGTCGGGATCCATCGACCAAGCCTCGACCTGATCCCAGTTGATGTCTGGAGCAGCATGGAGGGCTAGGCGATGAGCAGACTTCCAGCCATTATCAAACCCTTCGGCATATTCTTCCTCTGTGTAGATGCGGGTTTTGAGAAGCTTCTTTGCAGCCTCAAGCTTAGACTTCTGAGCCTCCAGATCCCCCTTCAGCTACTAGTTAGCAGCTTCCAGGTCTTCTTGCTTTTTCTAGGCCTCTTCCCAAACCTGAGCAAGTTGGCTCTCGTGGTCCGAGACCAATAGACGCCGAGACTCAGCCTCCTGCTTCACTCTCTCCTCGATACGGGCCTTGAATTCAACAATGCTCTCGGCCTCATATTCCTAGATCAAGGCATGGCCCTCTTCCATCCAAGGAAAGATAGTCTGCTCTAGGCTCTGGGAGAAGGAAAGGAAGTTTGCATTCATGTCCTGCAGATTGAGTCTCAGCTCAGACGCCTCCTCTTCGACCTTGACTTGCTTCAGTTCAGCAAGCTGAGCTCGGGCCTCAACCTCTTCAGCCTTTTTAGCCTTGGTTAGCAGCTCGTCGTGCATCTCCATATAGTGGAAATGATTATGCACGACCTGCAAAAAGTTAGCCGAAGCCCAACACTTAGAAAACTTTCTCAAAAAAAAAAAAAACAAACAAAACAACATCAAACAGAGAAAAGTTTAAGTGTTAGAAAGGTTCCTGCATCAGCAACCTTTGGTTCTCCAGAAGCGGGTCCGGCACCCTAGCCAAAGGCTCAGCAGCAGCACCCAGCATCCAGGCCCTGGCCCTGTCCAAGGCTAAAAGGTTGCCCAGATTGCCGAAATAGGCAACAACCGAGTCATGCTTGGACTCAAAAATCGCTCGAGCATGCGCCGGAACTTGGACCAATGGCGTCGAGCCGAGGCCCATCTCAAAAGACTGAAACGTCTTGAAGGAGTTCGCTGCTGAAGTAGAGGGTATGTCTTTGCTTTTCGGCTCTTCAGCTTCAGCCAGCTGAGGCTCATCCTCATTCGCAGCAAGACCAGGGTCCTCGACCTGGACGTCCAGCGCATCTACCTCTCGCCGAAAATCTTCGGAGAAGGCCTTGGCAACATGGCGAGGAGATGAAGGAAGAGTCTGCAGCTTGACCACCTCAGCACGAACTTCCCGAGACAGGGAAGTGACTTCTGTTGTCTCCTCTTCTTGGACCTCCTCAAGCCGAGGCCTCTTTGCAGGTAGTTTCGGCGCCTTGAACTGGCCAGGACGAACCAAAGGTCTTCTTCTCTCGCCTGCCATTGACTCCTCAGCAGTAGATTCGGGAGCAGGGAAGGTTTCAGCTTGGTCTACTCTGTCTACTTCTTCATCGTCAAACTGCAGCAGAAGAGACATAGGGGGGCAGGGAAGTGTGTAAGCATGTTGTAAAAAAAAAAAGGGGGGGGGAGAGCAACGAAAGCATGCACACAGATCTCTCAGCCGAAGCTTTTTACAAATCATGCAAGTCATAGCAAAAGAAGGAAACTGCTAAAGTTCTACAATTGTTCAAGCCCTAACGTGCTGAGCAAAGTAGAATGAAACATGCATTCGAAGACCTATACTTAGCAAAATTCTTACAAGTTAAGAAAGCTACGTATAACATGCATACTTAAGCTGAAGATACACACTTAGAAATTTTTCACAAGCTGAAGAACCTAAGTGCCGAAGATCCATACTTAGAAAATTTCAAGCAAGACAAAGCATGAAATAGACAAATCTAAGTAAAATGGACAAAGGCATCAGAAACTTACTGAAGGACCAAGCAAGTCCTCTGAATCCTCTTCGTCTTCAGCCTCTTCCTCTCTCGGCTCAGGTGGTGGTGGTGGAGGCACAACGCCACTGCGAGGAGTAGCAGCAGCCTGCTCTTCGGCAGAATGCAAGAAGAAAAGGTCAACCTTCTTGTACCAATCCTTCAGCGCCAAATAATCAAAGGCGCTCACGACCTCAAGCCTCCTTTGCTGAAGAGAAAGAGACCGGTTCTTGGAGTCGGTGATGGGAGGGTGTTCGTAAAGGGCTCCCTCTCTCGGCTGATCCCAAGCACCTCGTAATTAATGCCTGAGTTTTCCTCACAAATTTCTGCAGCAAAATCAGAAGATTGAGTTAGTTCGGCAGAAAATAGCCGAAGAAAACAAAAAAGCAGAAAAATAAAACAAGTAGTCTCGGCCTCAGCCAAGTCACTTACCACCTTGATATCTTCGGCTGAGGCCGACGATAGCGAGCATCTTCTATTGGAAGATGTAATGGCAGCAAGGTAGCCAAATACTCGGCACATTGGCCATTCGGCTAGTAGTCCCGGCAACAAAGGTTCGGCCAAACATTTCCATCTGCTGCTGCTCGGCCACAGTAAATTCATCGGAGCCAATACTGAACATCTTCGGATCGGGTTTCCTCAGATAACGAGGGCCACCAAAGTAATTGGAGTGGTCTTCATTAGAATGGAGCCTCACCCAGATCCACTAGCCTCTCCAGTCCTTATCCAAAGTATCATTCGGATACAAGGATAGATAACCCTTCTCGTCCTCAATCTGCCACCAACCTCGTCCAAGCCACTTGTTGGACTGAGCGTTCGGCTCGAGCCTGTGAATGCATCGAAAACAGTGTATGCTCGGCTCGAAACCATAAAACAAACAGACCCATAAATAGGTCATCACCCTTCAGATACTGACTGGCGTTAGTTGCGCCAAAGAAATGATGTACCCAGTCAAAACTTGTATGACGAAGAGGTGGGCAGGAAATCTGAGCCCATACTGCAGCTGTCGGGTATAGACGCCAAAATACCTAGGAGGTGGCCGAGAGATCCTGTCATCGGCAGTAGGCATTCAGCACCAGTACCCATCTTCTTCCTTGATGCCATGAAAAACCTCTAGCTGTTTGGCAAAACAATATCGGCCGTCATTTTCGAGCCACCAAGAGTAGGGTCGAGCATTCATCAGACCCTCTTTCTCGTGGAAATCGGTCCACTCCCGTTCTTCGGGAGTCAAAGGCCTCGACGCCGAAGGCTCTCTTCGGCCAGACGTGCTTGTTTCGGCTGAGCCGGATGGGGGCGCGCTAGATTGAGGCATTACCCTCAGCGCCTCGCCACTTGAAGCTACGGCAGGCCCAGATTTAGCATTCGGGTTTCGCCCACTTAGAAATGGCATCATCGCCAAGGGACGATTCCGCTTCAGCACTAGCTGAGGCGTCACTTCCTCCTCGCTCTCAGACTCGGGCTCTCGCTGAACTGGCCTTTTACCTTGGCGTCTAGCCATAGTGTAGAAAGAGAAAACCGGAGAAGTGCGAAAAATGCGAAAAAAGGGGAATGCTTCAAAAAGTAAAGAAAATCGAAGTGAATTCTTGGGAAATTACCTTTAATGAACTCGGAATTCACCGATCTACAGGTTTGGAAAGCCGGATTTCAGTTTAAAGCTTCGGATTGCTGGAGAACAGTAAAAGAAAAGCTAGGGTATTGCGCGTGTTTGTGAAAGTGTTGGGATTTGAGTTGCGAAATGAAGAATTGATGGTCTAAAATCTTTAAGCACGTTCTAGAATTCAATTTTCATGAATTAAAGAGTCATTAACAACCCACTAAGCGCACTTCAACCCGTGGCTGCACAAATTCCCTCACCTTAATTGCAAACCGCCAAAATTAACTGCCCATTAAACTCTTTCCACTTCCCCATTACCTTTAAATTAACCATCATTAAGGTTAATTAAATCTCTAATCATTATTAACGGTTACTAAACCGTATAACTTCCTCAAACAAAAATTTAAATTATTTTCATTTACTTTCCTCCAAATTTCACAACATCCGAAAACCCGACCCGTTATCCTCACGAATCGGGTCTAGGGGGCAAGTTGTTTGGGGTCCAAGTCCAAAAATGAAAATAAATCAAGCCCAATAGTGAAGGTTCAACTCTCCAGCCCATGCTAGGTCAGTCAACGAAGCCCAGTCAAATGGTCAGCCCATTTGACTCCTCTAGCCCAATCCATTCATTTGGATCAAGGTATAAATACTCTCATTTTGACACACAATCATTGATTCACATTCATAGCCTCAAGCAACAAACTCTCTTGCATAGCTATTCTCTTCTTCTTTGACACTCGTCCTGACTTCGGCATCGGAGGGACCTTCCTCGGCACAACTCCGGAGGCCAGTTTACGTTTGTTCAGCTGTGCAGGAAATCCTCAATTCGGACATCCATCGAATTGGGCTTCGTCTCCACTCATCTGAAGGACCCGCCGAAGGTCCCATTGTTTTCTTACCGAAACAACATCTTCATGACTGCTATATATATTCATATACCCCTTGTTATAGAATCGAAGTGATTCATTGTTATCCTTTCGTATATTTGCTCTTACACTTTCCTTAATTGGTTGTTTTTTAGTGTTCTCCCTTCTTTGGCAAATAAGTACTCCTACTATATCCTCCATTCTATTAATATTACAACAAGTTGTTTGCACTATTCATGACTTTTGTTTGACCATATAATATAATTTATACGTTAAGGGAAATATAGTTATGTGGAATATTCTTGAATTCGTCTCATAAAATACTTTCACAATGTCAACTTTTTATAATTTTTATTCTTACACAATTATAGATATTTAGCATATAAAATGTGTTTTGAAATGTGTAATTTCATCCTTATTGCAATATTAATAGAACGGAGAAAGTATTATACTCCATATCTATGTACTCTATGATTCACACACATACGGCAAACCTAAAAAAAAAATACTCTGTATGGTTTCATATCCCTTAACGTCCCAATTGTGTCACATGCATATTTTTATATTTAAAACAATCAGATTACCTAAAATTATTAATTATGGCTGGTCAAAGTGTAATACAGTACTTTAAAATAAAAGAGAGGGAATATGTACATATTTGTTAACAAAAAAATAAAATAAAAAATAACCTTACCAGAGTCATGACTCTCATCAGTAGTATATCCAGATCCCCATTCAAGCACAACAGGTACGGATGCTATCGCGGACGATAACGATGCGTTAGCTTCTAGATATTCCTTGCTAATCAAGAAGGCAGACCTGCAATTTCCAGATATGTTGTTGGTGCTCACACTTATACTGTATTTCTTGATTTCTGTATAATGGTTCATAAATTGAGCCTGGCAGCAGCCATAGCCAATGCATCTGTTTTCTCTTAGAACTGCCGCAGGTGGTTGCAGGGTACAAACCGTGGCGCATCCAGCAACGATTCCACCCGTCTCATTCAACAATAAGGCGTATCCATCGCATCCCACTGACACAAATACATTCTCTGTAACTGAATATTTGAAGGGAGAGTTGGCGAGGTTGTGGCTTGTCACAGTACGGTCATTACGACTACTACAAGTAGTAAATGACGGAATTTTAACCGTTACCACATCCCCTACTTCGTAGGGATACAGTATTACCTCAAGAATCTCGAGGTTGAGCTTCTTTAGAAATGGTTTTGGTTGTGATGAAGAGGAGGAATTACAAGAGACTGCAAAGTTGGGGTCCCTAAAACAATTTCTCGCGGTATCAAGACCAATACCAAACGGGTAAGGTATATTGATATTTCCACACCGGTGTATACAATCATCTTTATGTTTACGCAGCTCAGATGGTCTCCATAAACAAGATGATATGATTATTGACATGAGTAATAATGGGTACGAGCTTAACATTTTCATTTGGTCGCCCCAAATAATGTACCTTAAACCCTTACAAACTCATATAGAAGACTACTTTTTCTTACACATATACTCTATACTCTCTCCTTTGTCAAATATTCTTCATCACATATAGGGAAATTCTCAACGGCGACCCCTAATAATTGCTTCGCACCAATGGTAACCCCCCTTTTTTTGGATTATACAAGACGACCTTAGTTAACAATTTCATCCCACTCATAACCTTATTTCATTAAATATATTAACTACGGTTAAATTTATAATTTTTTTTTAAAAAAGAAAAATTAAAAAAATTAATCCCAATCCCCAATCCCCCATTGATTCCGGCCAACCCAGCCCCCCTCCCTTTCCACCTTTCCGGCCAGCCCCCTCCCCTACTTCGTCCAACCCGACCCCCCTCCCTTTCCACCATTCCGGCGAGCCCCCTCCCCTACTCCGTCCAACCCAGCCCTCTCCCTTTCCTCCTTAACCCGCCGCGATCATCCCCTGCTACCTCTTCCGTTTCGGCTTGGCTGCTTCAATGATCATCATCACCATCAATCCCCACCATTAATCCATTACCACCATAAAATCGCAACCATTAGACTTAGGGAGTCGGTTCCGGATCCCGGGGTCGTTTTCAGCAGGGGAAAGGGAAGAGGGGTCGCCACTAAAGCACCGCTATACCGTCATACATTTCGTTTCGCCGCCACTACACAATCCAGGTGGGCTGTTGATATTTTCTTCCCCTACAATAATTTGTTTCGGGTGAATTTTTCAATCTAATTGCAGTATTTATTCATTCGAGTTATTTAATTAAACTGTAGTTAAAATTTAATCATAAAATTCATCAATTACAATTTTTTGATTCGAATTTAAGGTGAATTAAAAAAACTTCAAAGTTTTGGTTTTAGCGATTTAATTCAATCGATTTTTTAATGCAAATTATTGAATCGTATTGCAATATTTTGAATCAAATTACACTTAATTTATTCGAATTACTTTATTTCAGTATTAATCAAAATGAATCTAACCAAATTAATCTTACCTAGGTCGTATTCATGGATTGGCGGTTTTCGCAGTCGGGGGAACGGTGGGACTACGTTCCGGCAGGCGGGGAAGGGGAGAGGTGTTTAGGTGGGAGTGTTTCGGTCGGAATTAATGGAGGGTGAAGGGAAGAAGAAGAGGAAAGGGAAAGGAAAGGGAGGAAGGAGGAAGGAAAGAGAAAGGAAGGAGGGGAGGGGTTGCCGGATTATGGTGATGGAGGGGCTGTCGGAAATTATGGAGGAGGAGCAAGGATGGAGGAAAGAGAAAGGAAGGTTGGTGGTTGGGTTAAATTTTTTAGTTTTTCGTTTTTTGTTTAAAATCTAAATCTAACCATAGTTAATATATTTAATGAAATAAGGTTATGAGTGGGATGAAATTGTTAACTAAGGTCGTCTTGTATAATCCAAAAGAAGGGGGGTTACCATTGGTGCGTAGCAATTGCTGGGAGTCGTCGTTGAGAATTTCCCTCACATATATTAATACCATTTATTACGTAACAATATATATTTCTCCTAATTTTTGTTTTACATGACTCACTCTCTCCAACTCATTTCAATTATTATGCAAATATTGAAAGTAATCAATTCAAAGAAACAAATTAAAGGGAGGAATTCCAGTGTGAATTGCTATCAAGATTTCAAAGGTTGATGGGTCTTTTGTCGTTTCAATTACTAGTGCGACAATTGAGTGTGAATAATAAACTTGACTATTCAACGTAGAATTGTATCAACTTGACTATTCAACGTACTGTGAAAAGTTATCAACTTGAATGTTTAATTGAATAGCTATCAACTTGATTGTTCGACGTACAATTGATTTCCACAATACTCCGTAATAATTACATCCACGGAATCAAGCTCCACCACTAGCTGCTTTATTTTGACTTAAAAACCCAAGATTGGATAGCAAATAATTACCGGCCTTAAACTTGTTCATGCTATCCTTACTCGGAACCAAATCTAACAATAAACTCTAAAAATCGTAACATCAATGTCATTATAGTCATCCAAGAGAAGGATAAAATGAAAGGAAAAATAAAAATTCTAACAGAGAATTAAATAATAGCAATTAAAATGAAAATCCTCAAATCAAACTCATCATCATTTATTCTTATATCAACAATCATATCATTGTGTTGTTTATCTGAACAACATAGTGATATAGATTGCATACACTGGTGTGGAAATATTGAAATCCCTTACCCATTTGGTATTGGTCCAGAAACCGCGAACCACTGTTTCTTTGACCAAAACTTTGCTGTCTCTTGTAATTCATCCTCCTCTAACCAATCAATACCATACCTAAAGAAACTCAACCTCGAGATTGTTGAGGTGCGAAACTCAAGCAAAACAGTAATAGTTAAGCTACCATCGGTCACTGCGTGTAATGGTACTGCGACACATTGGAGCAGTCCTTATTTGAGATGGCCTGCCTTTACATTTGCAGATTCTAATGTTTTTGCATCAGTGGGGTGCCATGGATATGCTTTATTCTATAGTGGTACAGGTAACATGGGAGGATGCACCTCAGTTTGTGCTATTGATCATCATCAAAGTTCGACGTTTTCAGCTGATACGATGAATCAATGTTACGGGCTTCATCACTGCTGTCAAGTAAATATTCCTATCGATCAGAGTTATAATATAACTGTGATTGCCAAAAATGGATCAGAGCATTGCAGGTCAGCCTTTTTGATAAGTCAAGAATATTTAGCAAATGTTTCATCCAACTTAACGTCAATGCCTACCTTTCCGGTGAATCTTTTTTGGAATATCGAACTTCTCTCCGGTATAAATTCCGTCTGCTTTTTCTTATTTTGTTAAAACTAGTGCAGCTAACGCGCACATAGCTAGTCATCTCTTTCAGTTTGATTTTGTATCACAAATTTAGTTGTTGCTAACATTAATAATGGAAAATATGTTAAAAAATTATTTAAAAAAATTAGGGGTATAACTATATATCCATAAACTATTTTTAGGAATTCAATAAAAGAGTCGCTAATACATACTAATGAGGAAAGATAAGTAGATTAACATTTTAAAGAATAATTGTTCAAACACCGTTTATAAAAATTATCTCAAACTTTTTAAAAGGTAGAAAAAAGGGGAAAAAAATCAAAAAGCAACGCCATACATGTGGTAAAATAAAAAGGGAAAAATTCAAACTTTTAGTAAGGTAGGCAAAAAAAGAAAAGAAAAAAAAATCAAAAAGCTACATCATACATTGCATGTGGCAAAAAATAAAAAAGAAAAAAAGTCACACATGTGATTGGCATGCATAAATAAGGGTATATATGTAAATAGACATTTTAGGGATATAAGTGACACAACACTATTTATAAGTGTTTGATTAAACTTTTAATAATGTAGGGGTTTATCTTTAGACTTTCTCTGTTCTCTTGCAACGTTTACGTTAACCAAACATAATTTCAACCTTTTATATCTCTAATTATAGATAATTAAAAGATATAATTTCTTCATCCCAAAATAACGGATACAGTTTTCATTTTCATCTGTCCTAAAAAATTAACATGTTACTAAATATAGTATGAGATTACTGATTAAAAACTATTTTCCTCTACTCTTCCATGACCCACTGATTTTTGGGAAAATATTACAATCATTTGAAAAATTCAAAATGAATCATTTTACATTAAATAAATGCACTAAATAGTCACACTCAATGACTCAATTTTTTTTTAAACTATGTACCCATATCCTAATGTCCCAAATATTCTTGAATGGAGGGAGTATTAAAATGAAATTAGGATGAATTCATCATGAATCTAGAACATCATGAATTCATGACTGTATTTTATTCTAGGAATAACAAGAACACACAAATGTTTATTACTACGTTCTCCCAAAATGCACCAACCTTTAAATCTGCCTTAAATAAGCTTCAGTTTGTATTTTTTTTTCTCTCTTAGTAAATCCAAATGACTTATGACTAAAACAACCGGTGATCTTTTTTATTTCCCTTTAATTATTTTTGTAAATTAACACAACAAAATAAAAAAAATTAAAAAAAAAAACTTAAACCACCCTCACCCACTGCTAGCCCCTCCTCCCCCCTCCTCATTGCCAGCCCCTCGTCTTCCTACCCCACTGCCAGAGTGCCACCTACTCCCTCCTCCCTCTCCCTTCCCGCGGTTGCCACCCTCCCCTTTTTCATTCCCGTTGCCCCCACCCCACCCTTCCCCCAACCCAAAACTCATTGCCTTGATCCCTAAACTACCTTATGGAAACCACCCTAAACGAGTAAAAACAAAACCCTAAAATATATTTTGTTGGTTTTCGGGGTGGTTATTTTTAGGGCTAGAGGCGGCATTTTTGGATGGGGTAACGAGAGGGGGTTGATTCGAGGTGGGGGAAGGGAAGGGGGCCGTTTTCGATTGCGGGAAAGGGGGTGGGGGTGGTGTCAGAGGCAGCAGGAATGAGGAAGGGAAGGGTTGGGTTGCCGTGGGTGGGGGAAAGGGAGAGTGGGTGAGGTTGCCGTTGTCGGGGGAATGGGTTTGGGTGCTGGTCGCTGGCATAGGTGGGGGTAGTTGGTGGGGGGGGGGGCTAGCAGTGGTGGGGAAAGAGAGGGTGTTTTTTTCTTTAATTATTAGATTTTAATAGATAAATAAAAAAATTAACCAACGATGAGGACATGAGACGTGAATTGCAGCCTGGTATAACATGTTAAGTGACCTTCTAGGGTTGCTACGGGAGAAAAATTACAAACTTAGGTTTATTTTGGGAGATTTAAAGGTTGGTGCATTTTGGAAGAACAGAGCAAAGGTTGGTGCGTTCTTGTTCCATTTTCCTTTATTCATATATAAATCAATAGTGATAAAATAAAATAATGTAAATAAAATAAATTTTTAAATACTCTATCTGTCCCAGAATAATTGACACAATCAATTTGGACACATGTCAATGCATTAGTTTGACTTTATTTTACGTAATAAATAAATATTAATAAAAATGGTTTTAAAAATTATATTATGAAACTTTATATTAAAACCTATCTAACAACATATTTGATAAAATATGTTTTTATTAAGTCCAAAAAAATTATAGTCAAAGCTAATATATAAATAGTGAAAAAAAAATTCGACTTCCTAGTAATTATTCTTAATGAGAAAGTAAAGTTGTAAGTCAAAGAGTTGCAACTTGCAAGTCAAATATAGAAAATTTTGACTTTTGGTACCACAAAAACACATGGTATTCATTTTTGCTACCTCTCAAATTTTTTTTTATTTTACTACCACACAAATACACATTTGTTAAAATTTGCTACCACTTAACGGAATAAGTTAAGATTCCGTTAAGTTTATTAAAAAAAAAAAGTAAAATTAAAAAAAAAAAAAAAACCAGCCAGCCACCCTCCCCCCTCCCTTTCCTCCACCTTTGCAGCCCCACCAACCTCAACTGCCCACCAGCCCCCTCCCATCAACCAGCCTCCCCCCTCCCCCCTGCCGGCAGCCAAAGCTTGGGCCAACGCCGGCGACCCTACCCCAAATCCTTCCCCCCACCTACGCAGTCATCACCCCTAACTCCATTGATACTCACGCACAAAGTTTAAGGAAAAGGGGTAACATGTTCATTTCTTCACCAAAACGCATAAAATTAGAAACAAAACGTTCACAATGCAACACACTATCAATTGGGATCAAGAATTGCGCGAATACATTTGTTAAACAAAAACCCCGGCCCCAATTCAATTTTTCTAGGGTTCTTCGCGAAAATTTTAAAGGGGGAAGGGGAGGAGGGGGTCGATTCAGGGTAGGGGAAGGGGAGGGGGGCCGATTTTGGTGGGGGGGATGGGGAGGGAGGGTTGTTTCCGGTTTCGGGGTGGGGGTTGGGGCAGCGAGAAAGGGATAAGGGAGGGGGGTGGGTTGCGTTGATGGGGGAAAGGATTTGGGGTGGGTTGCGTTGATGGGGGTAAGGGTTTGGGGTGGGGTCGCCGACGTTGGCCCAAGCTTTGGCCGCCGGCAGAGGGGAGGGGGGAGGCTGGCTGACGGGAGGGGCTGGTGGGCAGTTGAGGGTGGTGGGGCTGCAAAGGTGGAGGAAAGGGAGAGGGGAGGGTGGCTGGCTGGTTTTTTTTTTTTTTTTTTTAATTTTAATTTTTTTTTTTAATAAACTTAACGGAATCTTAACCCATTCCGTTAAGCGGTAGCAAATTTTAACAAATGTGTTTTTATGTGGTAGTAAAATAAGTTTGACCATCAATTTTTATTTGAAATTAACTACGCTTGTTTAAAAAGACTTTAATCCTACTACTCTTTTAACTTAACTACCCGAGAAATCCGAAGAGGGAATGCAGGGAAGCCTACTTATTTGACAAACCATATTTTTCAAAATAAACGAGGTTAGTTGCTTGTAGGGGTAAACCTCAGAAAGCCCCTTCAATAATTAAGTCAGTAAATGACATTTTTAGAGAGAGAAATTAATTATGCCTATAAATGATGTGATGAACGCATCTGGAGGCATAGGCATTACTCCCTCTTTCCTTATTTTTTTTTTAATATTTGGGGTAACTTTTAATAAGTTTGACCATCAATTTTTATTAATATATAATTGATAATATAGTCAAGTAGAATCTTGTTGGACTCGTCTAATTGTATAATCCATCCATCCTAGAATAACTACAACGTTGAACTTTTTTTTTTTCACTTTTCATATGCTATGTCAGTATTACTTGCTCAATTTCTTTAAATATAATGGAAGTGGGGTTAGTTGAATAATAAAAAAAAAAAACAAAAGTGAGTATAAGGCCCTGTTCACTTCTTCTTAAAAAATAATATTAAGTAAAAATAATTTCATAAAAATAATTTCGGTTTAGTAAAAATAAGTTCAGTTCAGTAAAAACAATTTCAGTTCACTAAAACTAAGTTTAGTTGAGTAAAATTTAGTATTTTTAAAGAAGAAATATAATAGAAAATCAGTAAAAATAATTTCAGTTCAGCAAAGATAATTTCAGTTCAGTAAAATTAATTTCAGTTCAGTAAAAATAATATAAGTTTAGCAAAAATAGTTTCAGTTCAGTAAAAATAATTTCAGTTCAGCAAAAATAAGGTGGAGTGAACGGGGCCTAAGTGGGGAGAACAAAGAATATGAAAAATATTAAAATATGATATGAGGGGACCATTAGTGGGGAGAAAAATAGTAAAGTATTGTTAAAAGTTTCCACATAAGGAAATGAGCAAATAATAAAATACGATTGCAAAAGAAAAGTAGAGCAAGTAATAAAATACGGAAGGAGTATTAACTTCGACTAAATTTTTTTATTAACATAATAAAAACATATTTTGTCATAAAAGATGTTGTTAGATAGGCATTCATATAAAGTTTTTTTAATATAACTTTAATTATAATTTTCATTAGTTTTAATTATATAAAAATTAAGGTCAAACTAATGCATCAACATGTCTGTAAAGGTTGACTGTGTCAATTATTATAGGATAGATGAAGTATTTTGTTAAAAATTAAGTTTGTATAATTTTTACACACACACATACACACACACACATATATATATATATATGGAGATGTATATTTTTAAACAAGCATCTCAAAGACCGTGAATAGTTAAATGAGGCAAAAAAATAGGGACAAAGGGAGTAAATGTTTTGGGAACACATATTAAAGGGTAAAAGTGTAATTAAATTTACATCTAAAAAGGTAATTTTTAGGATTGCAATTGTAATTTTTTGTACACTAATATGCTTGTATATACAATATCATTAGAATACTTGCTGTCTAATTAATTAGTACTATTATATCTCTTAACATTATAATATTTGATGTACCATTTAGATATTTACTTGTATAACTAGAAAAATATATATACCATTTAGTGTACTATATACATATTTAGTGGTACTTTGTACATATTTGTTAATAATTACAACTTTATCATCCTTTTTGTTGGAAAATATATAGGGCCTATACATCAATAATTCTCCTAATGTTTGCATCAAATAAAAATAATTCTCCTAATGTGATTAGTCAATATTTATAAGGAGAGATTTAAGTACCTAATTAGGATTCTAGCATTAATGAGCCGTGCAAATCAGAGTTTCTCGGGAATCCTGATAAACTTATGGGAGTCTATCGAGGGTTTAGGCTGGGAGTATAAAAGCGAATTTCACTTTGATATTAGAAAAATTTGTCAGAAAAAATCTCTTAAAAACACAATTTTGCGAAAAAAAAATCTTTTAAAAGCTTTTTGGTTAAAAAGAATCACCACCTTCATTTTTTTTTTGTGAGAGGAAATCTCTTTACTTAATTACCCACTAATTTACTTAATAATTCTCTAATTTCCTTCTGTTTATTCTAATTAACCTCTAACCCACCATATTACTTAATAATCAAACTTTACTTATTAAAAAAAAAAAAAAAAAACCACCACCCTCAACCAGACAACCATCTCCTCTCCTTCCGCCTCCCTTGGCAGCAACCCTTTTCCCCATCGAACCCGCCGGCCAGATTTCCCTCACCCCCAACGACCGACCTCCGCCACCGCCGGCTTACCCTCCCTTTCCCCTTTTGCCGCCGGCGACCACCACCTCCTTTCAAATTGGCTCTAATTTACTCAAACATACTCAAATCAAGTCAAAATCAATTGCAACTTGCTTCTAAATCACCCTAGCATCACATACCTATATACATAATCAAAGCCAAAACAAGCATCAATTGCAAGCAAGGTGCACAAAATAAAAAAAAAAAAAACCCCCCAAATCGATTTTATAGGGTTTTTCAAAATCAAGGAGGTGGTGTTCGCCGGTGAGGATAAAGGGGAATTGAAATAGAGAGTTGGTCGGCTAGTGCAGGTAGGTCGTCGCGGGGTGGGGGGATCTGGGCGACGGGTCCAATGGGGGAGGGGGTTGCTGTCATAGCAGAGGGAAAGGGATGGGGATGTGGAGGGGGGGTGGTTGGCTGGTGGTTGGGGGTGGTGGGTTTTTGTTTTTATAAATTAATTCTAATTATTAAGTAATTGGGTGGGTTAAAGGTTAATTAAAAGAAATGGGAGGAAATTAGAGAATAATTTAGTAAATTAGTGGGTAATTAAGTAAACATGTTTCCTCTCAGAAAAAAAAAAATAAAGGTGATGGTTTTTTTTAACCAAAAAGCTTTTTAAAATATTTTTTTCGCAAAATGATACTTTTAAAAAATTTCTGACAAATTTTCCTTGATATTATTATCCAATTTAGTGTAATTTTGTGACAATTAATTGGTTCAAATTATCATATTGTACAATATTTTGTCCAGTTTTCAAAACATAATTTAGCTATCTTAAGTGAAAATTTTTCAATATCCAATGGGTCTCAAACTCTCAGTGTCTCACCACTATCTTATTATTCCAACCCACTAAGGAATCCCCTTTACACCCAAGCATATATAATTAGTGAGGCTTGAATAAGTGATTTCAAGCTTCCCACCAACTCCACCTAACAATTTAGTTAAAACCAAAACAAGTTCTTATCTTTTTATCCCAATTTCTTTTAGTCCATCCCTTTACTAAATGAATGAGTGAAGATATAATGTGTTCTAAAGTCGACAGTATACACTATGTTAACAAAACTTTCGTTTTTGATTGACAGATCGAGAACTACTATACATTGTCCTGCAAATACTCTTGCCAAGTAAGTTGCTTTTTTTTCTTAAAAGTACGATAAATATAAAGAGTGGATGATGAAAGTATCCAATGACTTTTCCGCCTTTAATAACTTGAGTCATGAATGACTAATAATATGATGTGGTATTAAATTATGTTTCGATGGTATCATTTAAATACCCACAAACTAAGAATTATATGACAATACCAATAAAACATTTTTATATGCGTTGGAACTACTGAATAAACATTTTGGTATCATGATAATATCATCTAAGGTTTACTTTAATACCAACATGTCTTATTAGAGTAATTCATTATTCAAATTATTCTAAGGAGAGAATTCCTCAAAGATATCCATATTTTTTAGTGCAACGTTTTGCTTTTTTGCACTAAAAATACACCAGTACTCGATTTTAGTAGTGTTTGGCAATTAACTAGTTATATGAGTCGTCACACAACCTTGAAATTGCAGTTGTAGGTTCAATTATACTGACGTGCTACTTTATTGGCCAATGTTGGTGGTGCAAAACCAAAAGAAGAAGAAAGGAAACAAAGCTCAAAAAGAAATACTTCAAGGGAAAATTAGAAGAACAAAGGTTAAAACATGAAGAAGCCGAGAAAACAAGACTCTTCACAAAAAATGAGTTAAAGAAAGCAACAGACAACTTCAACAAAGATCGAGTAATTGGTAAAGGGGGGCAAGGTACGGTGTACAAAGGAATGCTAAGTGATGGGAAACTTATTGCCGTCAAAAGATCAAGCTCATTGGGTGAGAGCCATTGGAAGGAGTTCATAAACGAGGTAATTATTCTTTCACATATCAACCATAGAAATGTAGTAAAGTTACTTGGATGTTGCTTGGAAACCAAAATTCTACATTTAGTTTACGAGTTTATCCCCAATGGCACTCTTTCGGAACTCATTCATAGTACTAATGAAGAATTTCGAGCAACATGGGAATGTCGTCTAAGAATTGCTTCAGAAGTTGCCGGGGCTATTGCTTATCTACATTCATCTTCTTCAGCTCCAATTTATCATAGAGACATAAAATCCTGTAATATACTCTTGGATCACAAGTACATTGCCAAAGTTTGTGATTTTGGCATTTCAAGATCTTTAAGTGTGGATCAAACTCACTTATCGACTGTTGTAAAAGGGACATTTGGCTATCTTGATCCACAATACTTCCGTTCAGAGCAGTTCACCGAAAAGAGTGATGTTTATAGCTTCGGAGTGGTTTTATTTGAAATTTTAACAGGACGAAAGCCAGTTTGCCAGATTTCGGGTTATGCTGAGAATTTGGCAATACAATTTGCCGCAACAGAGGAATCTGGTTTGTATGAGATGATGGATCCTATAATCTTAGAAAGTAGCAATATGGCAGAAGACATAATGGTAGTTGCAAGTCTTGCAAAGCGTTGTCTGCACCCCGAAGGACCTTTAAGGCCAACCATGATGCAAGTCGCCATGGAACTATCGTGTTTGAGCAAAAAGGTACAGGCTAAAGTTGCTGCTTCATCAGAAGGAAACACATCAAATCTTAGCCAAGAGTTTTTCTCTACAAAAACCCACTTAGACGAATCATGCTCCTCTTGATGATTTGTTATTGTTCTTTATGGGTGTGTATTCACATTGCTGAGCATATGTGCCTGCAATAGTTGTTCTTGTATCATCTTGTGTTGCAAATTATGCATTGTAGAAAATTTAGAAGCGTAAATGCTTACTGAACCTATCAACTCAATTAATTTCATCATCATGTTGGATTTTGCGTCTAGCTCTTAGCTCTATCAGGGTGTACTGTGATAATATTGTGTTGATAAGTATTAGGTGACTCGTACTTCGTTGCTTTGTCCGCCCGATCGGGCGGACATTACCCGGTCTGACCGGGCGGAAGAAGAAGAGGTGCCTGGCAAATTCGTTGAAGAAGCTGCTCTCGCGCGCCCGACCGGGCGAGCTTTCGCCCGACCGGGCGAGCCTTCGCCCGATCGGGCGGACATTGCCCGATCGGGCCGGGCGGAAGGGGTTTTTTGGAGTACTTCGGTTGTTGGAAAAGACGTGTTCTCGCGCCCGATCGGGCGGGCCTTCGCCCGACCGGGCGATCTGGGTTTTTTCAGCGATTACGAATTTAATATTTATCATATTGTGATATTGTAACCTAAGTATATCTTAATTAGGAATCACTACTATATAAACTTCCTATTATCATTATTAGGGTAACGGAGAGAGAAACACAAGAGAGAGAATACTTTGAGTGATTAAGTTCTTCATTGTAATCTTTGTAATCTTTGCCAGTTTATAGTGAAATCATTCGATCTCGGTGCCCGTGGACGTAGCTATCACATCGATAGTGAACCACGTAAATTCTTGGTGTTGTTCTTATTGTTTGCATTGAATTTCTTTATTGTTTTCTTGTTTGTTTTCGACCTTTGCTTCCGCTGTCGCACAACAATTGGTATCAAGAGCTCAGGTTCAATCCTTGGAGAGTTTCTTGAAGATAACAATGGCAGGAGATTCAACAATAAGAATTGAGAAGTTTACCGGGAAAAATAGTTTCGGGCTATGGCAAATTAAGATGAAGGCTCTGTTAAAACAACAGCAGATATGGCGTCCGTTGGCTCCAAAGAGTACTACTTCGGAGTCAGGAGACGGACCGACTGACTCGCAGTTAGAAGTTATGGAAGAGAAGGCACACTCTACCATATTACTTAGTCTTGATGATCAAATCATCACGGAGGTGGCTGATCAGGAAACGGCGGCTGGATTGTGGCTGAAGCTGGAGTCATTGTATATGACTAAGTCGTTGACCAACAAATTATTACTGAAACAGCGGTTGTTTAGCCTCCGGATGCAGTCAGGTACTTCCTTACGGGAACATCTAGAAAAACTTAACTCTATTTTGCTTGATTTACGTAATTTAGATGTTAAAATTGATGATGAGGATGCTGCGTTGATTTTACTTGTATCTCTACCGTCTAGCTTTGAGAATTTTGTAGAGTCTTTTGTTGTTGGTAAGGATTCTATAACCTTAGAAGAAGTGAAGGCAGCACTTCATACTAGGGAACTCAGAATGAAAGCTACGAGTGATAATGGGGATAATGGTAGTGGGTTGTTTGTTAAGTCCGGAAAGTCTAAAAAGAATAAGGGGTTTAACAAGGGGAACAATGCTGGGTCGGGTGCTGGAAACGGCAAGGATGGATCTAGTAAAACTACTACTAAAACATGTTATTACTGTAAAGAACCGGGTCACTTTAGGAATAATTGTCCGGTGAGGAAAAACAAGTCCCAGGCTGCTGTAGTTGAAGAGAAACCGAATGAGAGCTATAATTCAGAGGAAGATTTAGCATTAGTCAGTTCTGCTAGGTCTGATGATTTATCTGATAACTGGGTTCTAGATTCAGGGTGTTCGTTCCATATGTGTCCACGTCGAGATTGGTTTGATACATATGAACCTCGCAATGGGGGCATGGTTATAGTCGGTAACAATGCTCCATGTAAGGTCACAGGTATTGGTTCCATGAGGTTGAGGACTGTTGATGGGCGGAGGTTAACTTTGACTAATGTACGGCATGTTCCTGCTTTAGGAAAGAATCTGATTTCATTGGGTACCCTGGATGACTTGGGGTACAATGGTGTGTTTTCAGATGGGGAGTTGTGTATTTTCAGAGGTTCTGAGTTGGTACTTAAGGGTATCAAAAGGAACACCCTCTATGTTTTTGAGGGTGTTACACTGCCTAGTTCTGCGGTTTGCGCATCTGTATCTCACCAGGAGATGACTAAGATTTGGCACATGAGGCTTGGTCATATGGGGGAGAAGGGGATGCAGCTATTGTCCAAGAGGGGTCTTCTATCCGGGGTCAAGGTTGCCAACCTTGAATTTTGTGAGCATTGTGTGTTTGGTAAGAAACACAGGTCAAAGTTCAGCAAGGGTGCTCACATTACTGATGCAGTGCTCGATTACATCCATTCAGATTGCTGGGGTCCATCTAGAGTTGAAGGTATGGGAGGTTACCACTATTTTGTGTCATTTGTTGATGACAAGTCCCGATACACATGGCTTAGGTTGCTTAAGTCAAAGGATGAGGCCTTCAAAGTTTTCAAGCAATGGAAAGCTTTGGTGGAAAATCGACAAGGAAGGAAGATCAAGAAGCTACGAACGGACAATGGGCTAGAGTTTTGCAAAGACGAGTTTAATCAGTTCTGTGCAGATGAGGGTATAGGTCGGCATCATACTGTCAGGAAGACACCACAGCAGAACGGTGTAGCAGAACGGGTTAATCAGACACTGCTAGAGAGAGTTCGATGCATGCTCTCTAATGCAGGGCTTGGGAGGAGGTACTGGAGTGAAGCTGTGTTAACAGCTTGTTATGTCATTAATAGGGGTCCTCATTCTGGAATTGATTCCAAGATTCCGTTTGAGATCTGGAGTGGTAAGTTGCCTAATTTTTCGAATTTGAAAATTTTTGGTTGTGTTGCTTATTATCATGTTATTGAGGGTAAGCTGGATCCACGAGCCAAGAAGGGGTGTTTTGTTGGGTACGGGGATGGTGTGAAGGGGTTTAGAATTTTTTCACCTTCGGAGGGTCGGGTCATTCTTAGTAGGGATGTTACTTTCGATGAAAACACCATGTATTCAATTAAAAATGCAGAGATTTCAGATTTGAGAAGGGAAGGAGACAATTTATTACAGACAGATGGGGTACTTGAGGTACATCAGTCTACCATTGCTGATTTACCTCGGGTACAATATATTGATGATGATGCTGATGTTCCAGTGCCGGGTACTCCTGAACCTGAGATTACTCCTACTCATTCTAACTCTGGGGATGAGGTGGAGCAATCTAATCAGGGGTCATCTAGTCAACCTGACACCATTCTTGAGATGCCTAAACGAGTTATCAAGAAGCCTGTTAGATTGATTGAAGAGATGGAGGGAAGAAATTGCTGTGTTGATGCGATGACAGGTTATGCATTGAGTGTAGCTGATGATGTAGAGTCATTTGAACCTGCCACATATAAACAAGCAATTAGTTGTAGTGAGTCTGCGCAATGGCTTGCCGCAATGGGTGAAGAGATGCAGTCTCTTTACAAGAACAGAGTGTGGGAACTGGTAAAAGTACCGGAAGGGAGGAAGCTTGTGGGTTGTAAATGGATTTACAAGAAGAAAGAAGGGTTGTCGGAAACTGAGCAAATACGTTTTAAGGCTAGGCTAGTTGCTAAGGGGTTCAGTCAGGTAGAAGGGGTTGACTTTGTTGAGATATTCTCACCTGTGGTTCGACATACTTCTATCCGTGTGTTATTGTCAATTGTAGCACATTTTGATCTTGAGCTGGAGCAGTTGGATGTTAAAACGGCCTTCCTTCATGGCGATTTGGAGGAGGAGATTCTGATGAAGCAGCCCGAAGGATTCGAAGCTCCTGGAAAGGAACACTATGCCTGCAGATTGCTAAAGTCATTGTATGGACTTAAGCAATCCCCCCGACAGTGGTACAAAAGGTTTGATTCTTTTATGGTTTCACAAGGTTTTGACAGGAATTCATATGATTGCTGTGTGTATCATAGTAAGCTGGATAATGGTTCCATGATTTATCTTTTGTTATATGTTGATGACATGTTGGTTGCCACAAAGAATAAATCTGATATTGCTAGATTAAAGGAGATGCTTAACTCGGAGTTTGACATGAAAGACTTGGGTGCAGCTAGGAAGATTTTGGGTATGGAGATCTACAGGGATCGGGCTAGAGGTAAGCTTTTCTTGACTCAGAAAAGCTACATTGAAAAGATTCTGTCTCGTTTTGGGATGGAAAAATCGAAGCCTATAAGTACGCCAACTACTGTTAGTTGTAAGTTGTCTTTGTCTATGTCACCTCAATCAGAGGAGGAGTTGTCTTATATGTCTAGAGTTCCATATGCAAACGCGGTTGGTTGTTTGATGTATGCTATGGTCTGTACTAGGCCGGATATTGCGCATGCTGTTAGTGTTGTAAGCAGGTTTATGGCTCGACCTGGGAGGGAACACTGGCAAGGGGTGAAAAGGATTTTTCGCTACCTGAGAGGGACAGCTGATATTGGTCTTGTGTACGGGAATGGTAAGGAATGCTTGGTCACTGGGTACAGTGATTCTGATTATGCAGCTGATGTGGATACCAGGAGGTCTGTGACTGGTTATGTGTTCACTTTGGGTGGTTCTGTGGTTAGTTGGAAGTCTACATTGCAGTCATCAGTTACGTTGTCAACTACTGAAGCTGAGTATATGGCTTTAACTTCTGCAGCTAAGGAGTCTATTTGGCTCAAAGGCCTAGTAGGTGAACTGGGTATTGCACAGGATTTTGCTACAGTGTATTGTGATAGTCTAAGTGCGATTTGCTTAGCTAAAGATCAAGTACACCATGATCGGACGAAGCACATTGATGTCAGGTATCATTTCTTACGTACTGACAAGAGGATTAAGGTGAAGAAGATTGGGACTGCTGACAACCCGGCTGATTTCTTCACTAAGCCTGTTCCGTTTAGCAAGTTTAAACATTGCTTAGACTTGTTAAATATTGATTACTACGTGATGTAGTAGGCCCTGAGGGGCGAAGTTGGGGAGCTCCTGGTGTAGGTGTGTTGGCCTTAAGGTGGAGCTTGCCCGGGGCTTGTGATGCAGGTGGAGCATTATGAGTTGTTATACTTGGAGACGAGTATGTGATGGGTCTTGGTTGAAGACTTATCGGGATGTATGGCTTATGCATGAGTCTTGCATCGGGTTTGGCTTGAGATGTTTTTCACTATGTCTTGATGGGGTCGTTTGCTGACTACGAGTTCTCGTCAAGGTGGAGATTGTTGATAAGTATTAGGTGACTCGTACTTCGTTGCTTTGTCCGCCCGATCGGGCGGACATTACCCGGTCTGACCGGGCGGAAGAAGAAGAGGTGCCTGGCAAATTCGTTGAAGAAGCTGCTCTCGCGCGCCCGACCGGGCGAGCTTTCGCCCGACCGGGCGAGCCTTCGCCCGATCGGGCGGACATTGCCCGATCGGGCCGGGCGGAAGGGGTTTTTTGGAGTACTTCGGTTGTTGGAAAAGACGTGTTCTCGCGCCCGATCGGGCGGGCCTTCGCCCGACCGGGCGATCTGGGTTTTTTCAGCGATTACGAATTTAATATTTATCATATTGTGATATTGTAACCTAAGTATATCTTAATTAGGAATCACTACTATATAAACTTCCTATTATCATTATTAGGGTAACGGAGAGAGAAACACAAGAGAGAGAATACTTTGAGTGATTAAGTTCTTCATTGTAATCTTTGCCAGTTTATAGTGAAATCATTCGATCTCGGTGCCCGTGGACGTAGCTATCACATCGATAGTGAACCACGTAAATTCTTGGTGTTGTTCTTATTGTTTGCATTGAATTTCTTTATTGTTTTCTTGTTTGTTTTCGACCTTTGCTTCCGCTGTCGCACAACATATTGTAATTTCGATTTCGATGTGGAGTTATTGCCTGGAATCATTGAGTTGGAGACACCCCCTTAGACGACCCATGAGCCTTTGAATTCATGTATGCTTTGCAATTTGCTCTGTAATGTATTGCAAAATGAGAGGAGCTTCATTGTGATAATTTGAAACGTATACTGAAAGGGAACAAGACTAGTTCTTACTCCAAACTTAATTCATTTAATTTGTTGATTAATTAAAAACTACTTTGACTAGCAGAAAAGCACAACTACTATGCATAGTATTTTCTACTTTATCAAAGTATCAAACTAATAATTGATCAACTAATTCCCATTACAAAATGCATAAACTAATAAAATAGCTTTTTCAACCTTAAACTACTTTGTTTAACCATACTATATGGAGTATTAGAGAAAAAAATTATCATAGTTTCGTAATAATAATATAACTTATTTCACATACTTGATTAAAAAATTCAACATTTTATCCATTGTTACATTGTAATGAAAGCCTGTTTATTTTTGTTTGGAGTCTTCCTCACACTTTTAAAAATCGATCTCTGACTGGGTAATTGTTATATCAGAAATAATTTCAATCTTTAAGGATTTGTAAATAATTTCGTAATAAGAACTATGTGAACATAGATCAAGAGCTTCCAATATAGCAAGTACTATTTTCCAATCATCGCGTGATCATTCGGTGGGCGAGGTTAACAAGATGAGTTCTTATACCTTAGTCTTTCTAAAACCATTGTGACTTCTTTCATTGTTGGCCTTTGAATTCCTTTATGGCTCAAGCATTGTTTGGCAAGATTGGCAAATTCCATGATATCCTTTTTCTTGCCATCCTTTATGATCATAGGGTCAACTATGTCAAACAAAGTAGAATCCTTGATTGATGAGACAAAATAAATCACCAAACTTAATTCTTCATCATCTTCGGTATCTTCTTCTTTATCTACGAGTATTGGTGTGCGAATTGGTTTTTCTCCCGTCAAAAGCTCAACCAAAATCACTCCGAAGCTATAAACATCACTCTTTTCAGAATACTGGCTCGAAAAGAAATATTCAGGATCCAAATAACCAAACGTCCCTTGGATACAAGTTGTCACGTGAGTTTGCTCCACAGATACTGCTCTAGAAATCCCAAAATCCGACAATTTTGCTCCAAACTTATCATCCAAAAGTACGTTGCTAGATTTAATATCTCTATGATAAATTGGTGTTGAAAACTCTGAATGCAAATAAGAAATTGCAGAAGCAGTCTCGAATGCAATTCTCAAGCGCATTTCCCATGTGAATATGGACTTATGGATATGTTCCAAAAGAGTTCCATTACAAATGAACTCATACACTACAAGAGGTTTGTCATCTTCCAAACAACATCCAAGAATCTTCACTACATGTCTATGTTTGATTTGTGATAAAAGAATTACCTCGTTGATGAATTGTTTCCATTGGCTTTCCTCGAGGGCTCTTGATCTTTTAACAGCTATAACTTGACCGTTTTTTAACATTCCTTTATAAACGGTACCCTGACCTCCTTGTCCAAGTACACGATCCTTGCTAAAGTTGTCCGTGAATCTCTTTAGTTCTGTAAGTGTGAAGAGTTTAGTCCTCTCGGCGGTGTCTATGTTGGAAGCCCCTAGTATATCTAGTTTATCCTTGAAATACATTGCTCTGAGTTTGATCTCCTTTCTTCTCTTTTTAGTTTTAAATCGCCACCACCCCCAACATCCTCCACATATTATAATTGGTATGCCAACAACTATAATCATGGTTACAAAAATATAAACTAACATCATTGATTGCATAACCAAATATATAATGAGAATTAAGAATCAAATACTATACGATAATCCATTAAAAGTATAGTAAAAAAACCTATCAAAATATTGACTTTAAACTAAAAACTAACAATCTTCTTAAGAAAAAAAAAAAAAAGATTTGCTATTATACGTGTTTTTTTTTTTCATAAATGTTCATCATCATACAATAATAAAACAAAATGACAATAAATTGTCATGAAGAATTTGAAAAAGTGAAATATTTTGGGTTTGAAGTTTTGAGCTATCATTACCATTAGAATTGACATTGATTTTTCATACAATAATTTATATGCAAATTCAATCTCGATATCATAATTTAAAACCATGCACTTACGAAATAGACCAAAAGGTGAGACTATCATGCCAACTATAGTAATTAAACTACTACGTACATTAAAAATGCTTGGCGCATAAAGAAAACAATTATCTTACTTGGAATAACAGAGCTGAGAATGAGAACTTTTGAAGTAAGAGCTGTAACAGAAATTTAAGCAATTATCAAAAAACGATTAAAGGAATGATAAAGAAGTATACAATTTACAAATAACACACATTCACATAACGGTACAATAGGATTATAGTGCACAATTAATCTTATTATTTACATTGATTGTTTTTTTGTAGCTATATTGCCTATATATCAAATAATATTTCTTCTGTTTATTAAAGCTGTGTTTATTCTGTTTAGAATATTTTATTTGAAAACTAAAAGTGAGATTTGACTACATCTTTCGTTCCAATTTATTTTCGGCATTGGTTTATGTACGTTTATTTTATTAAGTACATTAGTTATGAGAAGTTAAATATATAAGAGAGAATTTGGTGGTCTCAAAAACATTATTTGTAAGAATTAAGTTTGTAGTGGTATATTATGGCTATACAAGATCTATAGAATTTGTTAAAATACACCGGGTGTATCGTACACCCAATTAACCCAAGGTTAGTGTTTGTTTTTCATTTGATGATTAAATAAAAAACAATCATAAAAATGAGAGTAAAATACCATGAGTGTACTGTACACCCGGGTGTATATAACAAACTCCCAGAGCAAGCTAAAAGAACAAATCAAAAATAAAGAACAAAATTCAAGGATAAGCTTGTTTATAGTATTACACTATTACTCATTAACTATTCCAAAAAAAATAAAATAGAATAAATTTTTTTATTTTTTGACATGCCCATTTTGTTTTCAATCTAGTATTACATATAGAATTCAATTTTTTTGTCCAAAAAAAAAAAAAAAAAAAAAAAAACAAATTTTGTTTTTTCTATTTTTATAGAACATTTTGTAGCCTTCATCTTATCCCACCTTACTTATATTCATTTCTACACCCCTATTAACATGTTTATACTCTTCCTCACTTTATCCATGTTAGTCTTAGAGTTTGAAGAGATCCAAGAGATAAGATATGTATTAAAAAAAAAAAAAAAAAAGCAATCGATCGGTTCAAAGAGAAATACCTAATATAATTTTCCTTTTTTGTAAAAGACTTTTTAATTAAATATTTTTATTAATTAGTCAATCGAATGAATGGTACAAAAATCTTTTTTGCAATACTTTCCTTTTTCATAATCTATTGAGTATTGACCAATTAAGTTTAATCAAATTAAAGATCAATCAGATAAGATAAGCATGCTTACAAAACCATGTGTTGACCTTTCCCCATTTAAGCACAACTGGTACCGCAGTGATCCCCGGCGCTAACGGTGGTCCAGCTTCTAAATATTTCTTTCCGATCAAAAATGCAGATCTACAAAGTCCTGATGTATTAGTTGTTCTTACACTTATTCCGTATTGTTTAAGCTCTGGGAAATGTTTATGCACAGAAGTCAGCTGAACTTGGCAGCAACGATAGCCGTAACATTTGCTTCTGCTTACAGCAACAGCTGCTGCAGAATGATAATCAGGGCTGCAAACTGAGGTGCATCCTGCTATCATTCCACTAGTCTCGTTGTAGAACACGGCATATCCGTCGCATCCAACCGATGCAAATACATTTCCATCTACTGCATCTTCTGCAAATCTGAATGGTGAATCAGTCAAGTTTTTGCTCGTCCATTTTGCTTCTGTACTGTTGTTATTTCTACTGCACGTAGATAATGTTGGGATTTTTACGATTAGAGAGCCTACGGATCCTTTCCGACCAGAACGTTGGATCTCGACGATCTCCAAATCAAATTTTTTAAGAATTGGTGTAGGTGAGGAAGAGGAAACATTACAAGAGACGGTAAAGTTAGGGTTTAAGTAGCAGCCCTCCTTGCCGTCTGGCCCGATTCCAAAGGGATAGGGAATGTTAATACTCCCGCACCGGTGTAAGCAATCTGTATCTTGCCTTTGTTGACATGGTTTCCATGTACAAGACAAGATGATTATTGACACAAGCAAAGTGTATGAATTCAACATTTTTTCTATTCGATGCCAATGGTATTGACACGGCTCAGTTCATATGAGTTATAAGTAGTTTACTTTGTGTTGTTCTTTAACGATAATTTTGTTTGGAGTATACATCAGTAATATAAGTCAAATTGAATTGTTTCGAAGAAAAAAGTCAATTTAAATTAAGTGAATAATATATATTAACAAAATGAGACACTTAAATAAAACCAAATTGAAGAGAGTATAAGTTTCTTTTAAAATTGTTTGGAGTATAAATGTGGAACAAGTAGAATAGAGCTACTAGCTCTGTTTTGTGGAACAAGTGTTTTTTTTTTTTTTTTTTTTTTTTTGAAGAATGTTTTGCGGAACAAGTAGACAGAAAGTCCAACACAGATTTTATTAATTTTTAAAAAAATATTACAATTAAAAAAAAATTACTGGTATAAATTAGAGCTACTAGCTCTGTTTTATGGAGAATAGTTTAATTATTGTGTATAAATTTGTTATAATAATGTGTAATGAAACATTCAATCAAATTTGTCTTTGTCATCTTTTACCGGATCATATCTTCATAAACCCTAGCTTTCAATACACATAAGATTACCCAACTCTAATATAACTTCAATAGTATGAATGAATAGGATGTATGAAGTAGATAGAGTAATACTAAATCACCCAAAGGACAAGAGACTCATCACAAGTCACAACTCACCACAATATAATTGTGACTTCAACTACTCGAATGCCTAAGAAGCTAAAACAAAGCAAAAACAAATGCCAAACTCAAACGCGTTGTTGTTGTCAATAATCTTCTTGTCTTGTTTATGGAGACCATGTCAACAACACCAACATCCAGATTGCATACACCACTGCGGTAACATTGACATTTCCTATCCGTTTGGAATCAGGCCGCCTGAGCACGGCTGCTACTCAAATCACAACTTTGCTGTCTCTTGTAACAACTCATCACGTAAACCAATCTTACAGAAATTCAACCTTGAAATTGTTGAGGTGCGAAGCAATCCGCCATACGAATACGGACAATATGGAGGAGTAACTGTTAAGATTCCCTCGGTCTCTGCTTGTAGTGGTACTACAATACACTGGAGCAGTCCGAATTTAAAGGGGTCTCCATTTCACTTTGGAGAGTTCATTGGACCGCCCTTCACCTTTTATGGTCCAAATATTTTTGCATCTGTAGGATGCCATGGATACGCTTCATTCGATGATGGTCGAAATCGTAATATAGAAGGATGCACTTCAATATGTCCTAATATTCAAGATACAAATACGAGTACTTTGTCCGAGTTGGACCAATGTTATGGCTATAACAATTGTTGCCAAATCGATATTCCTTTGACTAAAACATATAGCATTAGTGTGAGTGTCAACAATGCATCAGGGTATCATTGCAGGTCAGCCTTCTTGATAAGTCGGGAATATTTGGCAAGTCATGCACTAAGCCAATCGACGGTGCCTTCGATGGCTGCCGCTCCGGTAGTGCTTCTCTGGTATATAGAGAACCAAAATGAAGGTATGGTAATCTGATTTCTGTACACTAAGGGATTGTTCGTTGTCGTTTTCTGTTACTCAGTATTAGATTTGAGGAAGTAGCTAGGGCTTCTTTCGTCTTTAGAATTTTTCTGACTAAGTTTCTATTTTTTTTTTTCTATAAATTTATTATATGACTTTTAAATTCAAAAGACAAAAAACTAAAAACATAATCCATTTTTTTTTTTGTTTTTCTTGGATAGAACAACATTTTCTACTACGAATCAGCACACGCAATATGTTTCACCTATAGAGTTACCGCCTCTAATATCAGTTTCACAAGATTCTGTACTAGTCCCTGTTACCCACACAATATGTTTCACCTATATGTTCTTTCTCTTATTTTACCTGGTCCGTATAATTTAAGAGCAGAGAAAGTAACAAAGATTTTTTATTTAATTGACAGCATATGAACGCTTTATGTTCGCCGTCCGCTTCGTCTTGCCAAGTAAGTCTGACTTAACTACTGAGAATTTGAGATACATGATACGCTGATACTTGTAGCCATACTTGTGATATCCTTCAAAAGAAAAAATGAATAAAATAATAAATCAATTTAGACATAAAATATATGATGGATACATTAATTAAAAAATATAAGAGATTTATCAATTATATAGACAACATCAAAATTACTATTTAGCTCTAAACTCTTTTATCTTTCAATTTTATACGTACTACTTTCTATGCTCTTTTTTAATTACAACGCTATAGTAAAAACAATAAAAACTTAATACATAGTAGCATGATAATCAGGAAAAACCAAACAAGTAAAGATGGTTTTGAGTTACAATCGCCTAAGGCCAGCTAGCCCTGAAAAATCCACTCCAACCCAAGCCCACTGAAAACTCATTTCGGCCATTATTGTTAGGGGTGGGCCACAAGCTGAGCCTGGGACTAGTTTTTGTGATGTGGGCTCATTGTAGCCCTATGCCTGTTTTTAAGCTAAGGTTAGGCCCATGGGCTAACACATCAAATCTGACCTATGGGCCTAAAGCCCTAAATAGACGATCCCGCCCTTGCCTTTTATTGTACTACGTACTTGTATTTTTTCTTTTTGTGTGCATTAGTCCTTCCGTTTTTAAATATTGGCTTCATTCTTTCTGGTTACGTATGTCAAGCTGATCTTTTGATCAATAAATTAATAATAAGTATAAATTCCAAAAATTGAAAATTAATAATCTATTCATTAAGACTATTTCAACAAGTAACCACAGGACTATATTTTTTTCATATATATAAATCGCAAACATTAGTTAAAGTAGAATAAATAAATAGTGCAAAAAGTAGAAATGAAGCAATTATTTAAAAACAAAGAGAGTATATTGTTGACTCTATAGGACTATGAATAATGCAGCTGTAGGTTCATTAATTTTGGCATGTTGCTGTGTTGCACAATGTTGGTGGCGTAAAACAAAAGATAGAAGAAAGGAGATAAAGCTTAGAAAGAAATACTTCAAGGGTAAATTAAAAGAACAAAATTTCAATCAAGAAGAAGCTGAGAAAACTAGACTCTTCACAGAAAAACAATTAAAGGATGCAACAGACAATTTCGATGAAGATCGTACAATTGGTAAAGGGGGGCAAGGCACGATGTACAAAGGAATGCTAAGCGATGGAAAACTTGTTGCTGTTAAAAGATCGAGTTCATTGGATGAAACTCAATGGAAAGAGTTCATAAATGAGGTGATAATTCTTTCACATGTCAACCACAGAAATGTAGTAAAGTTGCTTGGATGCTGCTTAGAAACAAAAACTCTACATTTAGTGTACGAGTTTATTCCCAATGGCACTCTTTCGGATCTCCTTCATAGTCCTAACAAAGAGTTTCGAGTTACTTGGGATATTCGACTAAGAATTGCATCTGAAGTTGCCGGGGCTATTGCTTATCTACATTCGTCGTCTTCAGCTCCTATCTACCACAGAGACATAAAATCAAGTAATATACTTTTGGATCATAAGTATGTGGCTAAGGTTTGTGATTTTGGAATTTCGAGATCAACTAGTATTGACCAGACTCACGTAACGACTTGTGTAAGAGGGACATTTGGTTATCTCGATCCTGAATATTTCTTGTCAAACCAATATTCAGAAAAGAGTGATGTTTATAGTTTTGGTGTAGTTCTTGTTGAAATTTTAACGGGACAAAAGCCAATGCGTGTAACTTTAGATGATGCAACAAGTTTGGTGATGCAATTTATAAATTTAACTGATGATTCTGCTATATATGAGATGCTGGATCCTATAATTTTAGCAAGTAACCATATGACTGACGACATAATGGTAGTTGTGAATCTTGCAAAGCGTTGTCTGCACCCCGAAGGAGTTGGAAGGCCAACGATGATGCAAATTGCCATGGAACTAGCGTGTTTGAGCAAAAAGACACATGTTAAAGTAGCTGCTTCATCAGAAGAAAACATATCAGATCCAAGTAATGACTTCATTTTTCCAGAAAACCACATAGACGAAACGTATTCCTTTTGAATCCATTCTGTTTCCTATACTAACTCCATACCAAACACCCCCTTAGTTTCTAAGTATAGATGTATAAAAGAGTGGAACTTGTAATTGTTTCTCTATGGGCGTTTATCACATTGGTGAACATATATATGTACTTGAATTACAATATATCAATCTTTTAGAGTTTTTGTATAAAGATCATATCAAATGTAAAAGTTACACTAAAAAAATAAAAGTAGAGAGTATAGATCAGATTCGATTTCTATGAAAGGGAATTTTTGTTACATATATTCATTCAATCAGCTAGTCCGATACAGAATTGAATTTGCATACCGTATGTACTCCAATTCATCAGAAACTGGAACTTATACGAGACTAACCAAGAACAAAACCAATCGACGAGTGTGGCTAGGCTTCCGGCTAGTCCTTTTATATTTATAGGGAAAATCTGCATCATGAGAAAACATTCATTAGCGATTTAGTCCATTTATACTAGTATATGTGGTTAACTGTCTAAGCATTACCTCTGACATTATAACCCATGGAACTGGTCCTAATCCAATAGAAAAGAATGCTACATATACCTATAAAAAGAAATTAACATTATTAAGACTCTGAAAGTGTGAAATCTCATAACATTGACAAGTAATCAATTTGTTTATTCATTTTCCGATTTGCTGATTTTAACTCCTGCATACCAGTATGCCTGTCGCGGCAAGTATTCCTGCTGTTTCTGTGGAAATCGAGGAAGAAGAGGGAAAGGGAAAAAAAGAAAAAAAAAACTGATTTAAGTGATCACGTGCACTTTTTTGGCCGGAATTTGTAGGTCAACGCTGGAGTTTGGTCAAAGGACCCTCCTCACAACCCAATCGCCATAAAAGGACCTTTTGTGCCACGTTTTTCATAAAAGGACCTTCTTCACAAGGTCGACCATTTAAAAGAACCTTCCTCGTAATTTTTCCTATTTGTAATGTTACACAGCACATAAAAGCTCACTATATTATCAGTATATTTCTCTCTAGATGAAAAATAATGCTAACACTGACTCATAATTATATAACTAGAGCTATGGACACACTCACAATGACAGATTTTAGATATTTCTTTCTGAACAGATCATAGATTTTAGGTTTTGGCAGTAGTTTGAGTTCCTCCAAACAACTCTGTCAAACAGAAAAACATATGCATACGCGTATTAGTAATCTAGCTGAAAGCTCATAAGTCCAATTTCTTCAGAACAAAGGTTGATGAATTTTAGTACTTTGATCTCAGCTGTCTCAAGGGTTATGTCTGTCTTTTTCCCGCGAAGTTTCTGAAGGGAAACTTTAAACTTATCTGTTCTTCCTTCTCTTGCCTGCAGTCACATTGAACTCATTTTATTAGAATAATATAAAAAAATAATAATGGCTTGGCTTAGCAATTTTTTACGAAGGCAACTACAATTAAGAGTTAGAGTTTATTTATGGATTAGTTGGTTTCTTTGTTACAATATGATTGTCTTTTGGTCGCCAAAAAATTGCAAGGGAAGAAAGAGGGAAGAGCAGGGGAAAAATCAGGAGAAGAGAGGGAAATTGAAAGGGATGTGGTTATTGGGACCCACCATGACGTTATTCAAGGAGGTTGGGTTAAAGTGGTGGTAGTTTTTAGTATCTATCAATCAATCAATAACTATATATTAAAAAACACATCAGCAATGACACGTGTTATTTTTTTGTGTGTCAAGGCTTTTTTTTTTCTTTTAATATCTATATAGGAAAGAAATATTATACATAAATAAAACATTGCAAAAGATTTTCCTTCAATAAAAAAAAAATTATAAAAGATTTAATGTATCCTTCCAAATATATATTGATACCATAAACTTCTTAACCTAATTTATGACATATATAGAGTTACGTACTACTTTACTATTAATAGAAAACAAGGATTTTTTTGAAAAAAAGGATTTTTGTAGTTAATCATGTATGAAAAGCTTGCCAAGAAAGATATGAAAAAATATTTAATGTCAGTTGATTATTGAGAAAAAAAATATGCAACATAAATAAGAGAGAATGAATAATAGTTTGCAAAAAAGAAATCTATTTATAAGTTAAATACATATTGCTAAGATTTTCATTTGATTAACAAAAACAAAACGATATAAATTTGTTGGTGAAATATATATATATATATATATATATATATATATATATATATATATATATATATATATATATATTATATATATATATATATATATATATATATATATATATTATATATATATATATATATATATATATATACGCATTTTAAAGTATCTATTTTGCTAATAATAGACTTTCATAATAAATTCATTTTACAAATTAATAACTTAGCCAATTAAATATAATGTTAATTAAAGAATAGTTATTGAAAATTACCGTGCATGGCACGGGACCTAACCTAGTCAATAACTATATACTAAAAGATACACCAGCAATGACACGTGTCATTTTCTGGTGTGTCAGGGCTTTTTTTTTTAATATCTATATAGGAAAGAAATATTATACATAAATAAACATTGCAAAAGATTTTCCTTAAAAAAAAAAAAAAAAAAAAAAAAAAAAAAACAAGGAAGTTCGTGGATTGAGAATGGCGACTGAATGTGATGGAGGGAGAGGCCGTTCCTGGTGGAGCGGGCGTGCATCTCCCCAGGAGCGGGTGCTCCTGAAAAGTTTCATAATTCTGCTATGCTTCTGAACCTGTGAGGAGTGGTCGTGCACTCATTGAGGAGCGGGCGCTCCTAGTTGCTCAGCTCAAATATGCCAACCTTCTGGAACAGGAGGAGCGGGCGCGCAACTACCTAGGAGCGGGCGCTCCTCCCTGATATCTTGAATCTGCCATCTACTGAAGAACAGGGGAGCGGGCGTGCACCATCTCTGGAGCGGGCGCTCCTACTTTTGGAGCGGGCGCTCTTGACTAGGTATCCGGGTTACTTTGATGGATTTTCCTATGTAATTCGGAGAGTATAAATACTACCCCTTTAGTTCATTTTAAGGACAACAAAAAAAAAAAAAAAAAAAAAAAAAAAAAAAAAAAAGAACAGTAGAATAGTTTTCAGAGAACTTCCTCTCAGTTAGCACCTTAGTTCATTAAATTAGTTGATGATTTAGTTTGGAAACTCTCAAATCTGCTCATTGTAGAAGCAAATTTCAAGGTTCATTTTCAGATTTTCAGCATTTATTCAACATTTTGAAGCTTCAATAGTAACTTCTTTCACTTGTCTCTACTTATATTTTGATTTTATTTTGTTATTGCAAGTCACTTGAATCTCTCTTAATCTTGATAAATTGTTGTTGCATGTTAGTTTTATCCATAGTGAATCACTTTTCCCCAATTTTAGAATTACTTAGAATCCCAACTTGGAACTTTGCATGTTACTCACAATGAATTGTGAGTAGTCCTCTTGGCTAGGGGTTGGGTGAAACTCAACCTAATGGTTAATTAAGTAAACTTGGGAGAAGCATTGATGTTTGATTTGTGATTAAATTGATTGTATGAGATTGCTTGTTAGTTCTTCTTGATAGGTTTAGCTACCCTAGAATTTGGAGCCTGATGGCATGTTATGCTTAGTTTGACATGAAAATGTAGATTAAGTATGTCATTACTTATTGCAATTTGATTATGTATCTCATATTGCTAAACTAATGAGGGATCTAAGTTTAGGAGTGTGAGTTGTTTTCCTAATTGCATGAGGTTGGTTTTACATATAGTCCTTACTATTTCTTGTCTCCATTTGCTCCCAATATGCTTGATTACCATGGTTGAGTGGATCCCATTCCCTAGTACTTTTAATTACTTGATTTAGAAAAATAGTTTGTTTGTCTACTTGACGAACCCCCAATCAACAAAAGTCTTCGAACTAGCTTGCGTATTAAGATCTCTAGCGATTATATCTCGTTCCCTGTGGACCGAACTCTTACTTATCATTGTGCTTGGTTTGTGAGATGTTTGCTTATAAAAGTGTTTGAATGAGTGTGGAATGTGCGACTGTTTTAACGCCCATCATGTTACTTATGTTTGTTGGGAGATGTAGCAAACTTTCAATTTCAGATTTACATAAACCCTTGTTGAAGGAGGATGGTACTAGGTGTTGTTAAACCCATTTGTATGTGATAACGGTAAAAGTCATTACAACATCATGACCTTGTATGAGAATATATACTCCCTACGTCCCACAATATAGTTTCTGTTTTCCTATTTTAGAGACCCAAAATTTTGCTCCTTTTTCTATTTTTGAATAGTATGTAAAGACCATTATACCCTTATTTTTTTACTTTATTCATTGAACTTCCTAATTTACCCTTAACTTATCCACTTGCATTATACTTTTTTCACTTCTTCTCTCTAACTTTTGTCTATAATTGTACTTTTCACTTTTTTCCCCTTAAATTATCCACTTGCCTTGTAATTTTGTCTAACTTTTGTCTAGCTTTTGTCCACTTCTCCTTCCATTTCTTAAATACCGTGAAAAAAACACAATAGGAACTATATTATGGGACGAAGGGAGTATAAGATATGGTTTTGTCAGATCGCAAGAAATGTGATTGACATGCATGAAGCATAGATCTCAAGAAAATTTTATCCATTTGAATTATTAGGATCCCTTAGGGTAAGGCATACTGATTTTGGGTTGTCTCCGTCATTTCAGCAACATTCATAGACTTTTAGTTGTATGTTAGAAAATACTTTGCACAACACGAAACATCATCATCAACTTCCCTTGTTCTATCATTAGTCCTATCGCATATTTAAATGTATATTGGTAAGCCTTATATGCGTTGTCCTCAATCGTTGTAATAGCTTAAAGGTAAATATCGTTAATGACCTTAATTGGTATTGTGTAAGGGCTTCTTATGCCAATAGTAACTTATGTTACTTTACTGTCCTTTCGTTTGTTGTAAACTTAGTTTAATTAATGTAATTTCAGCTGTTTTTTTTGTAAAAAAAACAAATAAAATAAAATCTATAACACTTATAAAGAATTGATACAAACTTTGGTGTATGGAAATATTAAAAACTAGGTTAGGTCTCGTGCCATGCACAACAATTTTAAAAATTTAATATCAACTTTTCAATATAATTGGTTATTTTAGAACAATAAAACAAAAAATCTAAAAACACTATTGACGATCTTTAATATGAAAGATAAGTGGATAAATCTAAAAAGTATAAATTGAATAATTTGATATTCATAAATACAAAGTAATAAAATCGTCTATTAAGTAATTAAAATATTGATGTGTAGATATTGTATTCAAATATATAATTATATATAGTATCAACATGTTTTGGATGAGTGCAATAAATAATACTTTAGTATTGATCTTCATGAGATTTTTGTGTGTGTTTATATTAATATTATGAAGTATAGTCTAACTATTTTTATATATTAAGGTAGTAAATAGTAATGTTTCTATAAATAAATTAATGTTTTGGCTTTGTTAATTAATCTATCAATTCATAGTGTTTTGGTGTGTGAAATTGTTGATGACCAATTGCGGTATGAATATGCAGGATGATGCCTCTGTTTCATGGATTTTCAGCAACATTGCAAGCTATAATTAATGTAGTTATCTTATCTTTGTATATAGTGACCTTTACGTAAATGAGGTCAAATTTGATATAGTTACCCTACTTTTGTATATAGTGACTTCTATGAGAATATGATCAAAATTGATATACTTACCGTATTTGTATATAGTGACCTTAATGTAAATGTTGTAAAAATTTATATAATTACCCTATTTTGTATATAGTTATGTTATTTTTATATATAGTGACTTTACGTTATTTTTTTTAAACCGTTAGATCTTTAGGAATAATGGATGGTTGAGATTTTCTGATTTTAGTTTTCACCATAAGCCCTGTTTTCAGCAGAACCTCCCCTATATATATACTACAACCAGTGGCAGACTTGGGCTTAGACCTGGTGGGTCAAGTGACTCACCAGGCCCAAAAAAAAATTTTAAGTTATTTTTAAAAAAAAAATAAATAAAAAAATAAAAAAATAAAAAAAAAATTAAAATCAGTTTTCCCCAAATGACCAAATCACGAAGTCAGTTCAAGCCTTAGCCTTCTTCAGTTCTTCTTTTCGCCAATTCGCCTCTTCCCTTCGGCCTTCAATCCTTCATCAATCATCTCCAAGACTCCAACTCCAGTTCTCCACTCCTGTTCTTCACTTCTTCATCAAAGAGTAAGTTTGTAATTTTTATTTTTAATTTCTAATCTTCAATTCAATTCAGTCTATTTAGTTAATTTTATTAAACTTCGCAATCTTGTCTTTAATTCAGTCAATTCCTATTTCGTTGTGCGGGTTGTGCTGCTGGCTGCTCCGCTGCTCGCCTAGTCGCCTCAATCAGCGCCTGCCGCCTCCGGCACGGCAGTCCGGCAAGGTAGGTTCATCAATTTATTCTTTTTTTTTGTGAATTTTTGATCAAATTTGCATTACTTGTCTCTTAAAATTAGTATATACGGTGAATGTTCATTGAATTTGCATTATTTGTGTAAATTGTGTTTTGACTGTTAAATTGAACTTATTAGTTTATCTGTTTTACTGTTTATGTCATTATTTGAAATTGTGAATATGTGATGCCGGTATTGCCGGACATTGTGTAAGACAGCAATTAGACTATTTAACTATTAGTGTAAGGAGGATTATAAATTTATAATTAGATTACAGTGTGGACTGGTTAGTGCTTAGTGGTGCTAGTCGCATATTCAGCTTGAAGTTCCGTATAGTCGTATAGATTAGTGGAGATATTAGTTTGTTGATTTTAGTCTTGTCAATTTTAAGCTTGTTAATTATTAGTTAGGATTGTAATCTTGTCAATTTTCTATTTGGATGATCTAATGATCTTTGTAAATAATTTTTCTGAGGAATATTGTTTGATTTAGTTGATTATTCATTCAATTTTCAGAATGAAGAGAAAACGCACTCAAAATGAAATGCAAAACATTACTAGCTTCTTTACTAAAAAGAATCCTACTTCAACTTCTCTTCCACATCCAACACAAAATGAACAAACTATATCTCCACCTCAACAAAGTGAACAAACTACATCTCCACCTCAAGAAAGTGAACAACATTCATCTCCATCTAATTATTCAACTCAAAATTCCCCTCAAAATGAACAAGGCCAATGTTCTCCTAATGCCCCAATCTTTGGTGAAAGATTAAGTGAACATGAATTTGCTAATCTTCCACAAGATCCAGGAAAGAGGAGAAAGATGAGTCAATTTCATAAAGATGATAGAGATTTAGTGAGAAGAATTTACATTCAAAGAAAGCCTTGTCAGCCCAAAGACTTTATATTTCCTCAAACTTCTATTTTTGGCAAAAACCGTCACTTTTGTGCTAAGTGGTTTGATACTTGGACTTGGCTTGAGTATAGTGTGGAAAAGGATGCTGCCTATTGTTTCCCTTGTTATCTATTCAAGGATGAAAATGCATTTGGAGGTGATGCTTTTGTTAGTGATGGTTTCAAATCATGGAATCGATCGGATTTAATAAGAAAACATGTGGGTAAGCACATGAGTGCACATAATAATGTAGTGTTAGCTATGGATTTGTTCAAGAAGCAAAATTCAAGCATCACACAAGCCTTGACAAAACAAACCGCTGAGAGTACAAATGCATATAGGAAGCGACTTGAAGCTTCAATTGAATCAATCCAATGGCTTTTACTCCAAGGGTTGCCTTTCCGTGGTCATGATGAAAAAGAAAGTTCCTTAAGAAGAGGTAACTTTCTTTCACTTTTATCCCTTATTTCCAAAGGTAACCCTGAATATTCTAAAGTTGTTTTCAAAAATGCTCCTAGTAATTGTCAACTTACTTCTCCAAAAGTCCAAAAAGATATCATAAATGCATGTGCAAAAGAGACAACTAAAGCAATGCTTGAAGATATTGATGGTGATTTGTTTTCTATCCTTGTTGATGAGTCCGCTGATGATTCTGACAAGGAACAATTGGCTCTTTTTTTGAGATATGTTAATAGAAAGGGAGAAGTGTGTGAGCGTTTACTTGGTATTGTGCATGTTGTAAACACTGCTTCTTTGACTCAAAACTGCTATTGAATCCTTATTAATGGAGCATTCTTTGTCTTTCTCTCAAGTACGGGGTCAGGGTTATGACGGGGCAAGTAATATGCAAGGTTCTATTAATGGCCTTAGGACTCTTATAGAGAATGAGTGTAAAGAAGCTTATTTTTTCCACTGCTTTGCTCACCAACTTTAATTGACTCAAGTTGCACTTGCTAAAAAGAATTCAGATTGTGCTTGGTTATTTGTTGATGTACTTGCACCTCTTTTGAACTTTGTGGGGGGTTCACCAAAAAGGAAAGAGTTTCTTCGTGAAAATCAAGCTCAAAGAGTGGTGGATGCTTTGTCTCTAGGTGAACTTGAAACGGGTTCAGGTTTAAATCAAGAACGTGGATTAGGTAGACCTTGTGATACTCGTTGGGGATCTCACTTCAAGACAATCTTGAATGTACTTGATTTATTCCCTGTAATCCTTGGTTCTCTTGAGGATATTGCAAAAGTATCTGATACAATAGATTCTAATAGAGGTCAAACACTTACAAATCTTCTGATGTCCTTTGATTTTGTGTTTGTGGCACACTTGATGGTTAGTATATTTGCTATAACAAATGCTTTGAATGTGGCCTTACAAAGGCACGATCAAGACATTGTGAATGTGATGGCCATGGTTAATGTAACCAAGACTAATTTGCAAAAAATGAGAGATGAAGGATGGGATTCTCATATGGAACAGGTCATTTCTTTTATTGGTGACTATGACATTGCAGTTCCAGATATGGAGGCTAAATATGTTGTTCCCGGGAGGAGGTTGTTTCGAGGTAAATGCCCACAAGTGTCTAATTTACATCATTTTCGAGTTGAAGTTTTTTTTGGTGTCATTGATCTTCAATTGCAAGAACTTGAAAATCGATTTCCCGAAATAACTAAAGAACTACTTGTGTGTATGTCTTGTTTGAGTCCTGTGGATCGTTTTTCTAAGTTTGACAAGGAAAAATTGATTAAGCTTGCGAAATTCTATCCTAATGAATTTCCAAGTTCAGAATTGATAGTCTTTGGTCATACACTTGAGAGTTACATTTGTTCTGTTAGAGGAGATGAAAGGTTTTGGAATTTGAAGGGTCTTAGTGAGCTTTCAATCAAATTGGTTGAAACGGGATTGTCTGAAACTCATGATAGGGTCTATTTACTTTTGAAGTTGGTGTTGCTTCTTCCTGTCGCAACGGCAAGTGTGGAAAGGGTATTTTCTGGCATGAAGCAAGTGAAAGACAAACTACGAAATAGCATGGGAGATCAAATGTTGAATGATTGTTTAATTACTTATTTGGAGAATGATTTGTTTTTGAATGTTAGCATGAAAGATATCATGAATCGATATCAAAACATGAAAACTCGTCGAGAACTATTGTAATAAGTTTGCATTACTATTTAGTTGTCTTTTGTAGTATTATATGAACATTTGGTTGTATTTTGTACTGTTTGAATATTTGGATGTATTTTTTAGTACTATTATTTAGTTGTTTGGTAAATTTTTTTTTTTACATACTTGATTATCGATTATGAACCACCAGTCGGAAATTCCTGGGTCCGCCACTGACTACAACACACTTCACACAAATGGACTTTTGATGAAAGCTTGGAATCACATTTACTTATGCTCGGGGAGGAAAAACAACAAAAAGAAGGGATACAACTACGAACAAGAGGATAAAAGGCCAAAGAAGTGATACAAATATACAACTATGAACATGTATCAAGGATTGATTGTATAATTTTAATCAAATGCAAGTATATAACAAATACAAGCCCAAGAAAAATGATAAGATAAGAAATTGAAAAAATCAATTAAATTTGCCGAACTTATTAATCAAAGCTGTCTGGTATTTGCACAAAACTCGCATACTAAAAAACTGTCAATATTGTGCGCACAACTTCATACTAGAATGTATGCACAAACTTAAGTTGACGCATTAGTGATTTTTGGTTACGTAAACGACCTAAAGTGGGCGCACAAAAAATGACTTTTCATGAATTATACATCCAACATTATTTGCTTATGGAAAAATAAATTAAAAATCCAACACTTCTCACCAAGTACCTGTATGTTGATAATTGTTTGGTTTATATGCAGTTGCCATTCAAAATATTCAAGATTTTTTATTTGTTAAGGAGCAATTTTTTTTTCTACTAATTATTTAATTTTTTTTTAACACGAGTAGTGGTATATCGAATTTAACCAGTACTCCGTAACAATTTGCCACTGATTTTTGCACTAATTAATTGATATTGCACTCCAATTCATATTTGGGATATTGCAATCCTACTCAAGCGTAGTATTATTAAGATTACTGCTCGGAAGTTAAAACATTTTGAATAGTGAGATTAGTTAGTGAATTAGTGCAGATATAAATTGTCGGAGATCTTGACTCTAAAAAAGCCTCAACGAATAACATTATATGGCAAGTTATCACTTTCTAACAAGATTAGAGAAAAAACCTACAGAATTCTGCATGTGTGTGTATAAAAATGACGACAGGGTCCTATCGTTCTCATGCTCATGCTCATTCAGATATGTATGAACCCTCGCAACATATTCCATCTCTTTCCCGTAAAAATGGGATGCACAAGCTGCCTTGTATGACATGAGCCTCGAGTCACCTGGGACATCAGAAAATTCAGATCATTGCCAAGACATTGAGAGGCACAGGTAAAGGAATAGTTACGCAACTTCTTTACTAGCAACAAATAACAAAATGCACTCATTCTACTAGTGTGTGAAAAAAATATACCAATTGCCTAAATGCGTATAACAGGCAACCCAGATGAAATAAACTTGAATGGGCCAACATTATTGAATTAAACCAGATTACCAGATTCTCACTATCAATTTCTATACCTGATCATGTTGCAAAAACTGTCCTTTTGTGGTTCAAAAAGTTCTACTTTACACAATATGCACTCTGCTGCAAAAAATTATTATTTTACGACACAAACAATGCAGACAGCTAAGGTAAGTTTAGGCGATACCTTCTGCCATTTCTGATGCCAGTACGTGCTTGCTAAAATGGCGGTTCAACCACCATTTACAGCGGAATTTCCAAGTCTTTCCTGATGTACCCTCCACAAATGAGGGAGGTGTCCTACTGAACCGGATCGTATGCAAATTCTGACTCTGAATTTGCTCCCCAACTACACACATTGACATTCTGTCTTCTTCGCACCGGGAAAGTTTAAGCAAACATAAAGCAAATTCCCTCCATGAAGTGTGATCTCCATATGTCGCTTCCAAGTGAAGAGCAATCATCTCCACCAGACGTTCAGGAACATACTCTCCTGGAAAGATTAAATGTGTAAAAAATAAAAAGTGAAACTTTTTACATCATACAAAGAGAAGCTGCAACAGCCAATATATGTTTTCAGGGTAAGCAACCCATTTGATTAAAAATGTACAGCAGATAATAAGCAAGAGTAAAGGTGTATGCTTTTTTTATTTGAAAAATCTTGAACTAAACCGAAATGAAATTATTCAACCTCATCTGAACTTAATTAAGCTTATATCAACTTATTTAAACTTTCTTCAACTTATTAAGAAACTTCATAATATAGAAATAGGATAAACATAAGAGTAGATGTACAGTATGAGAACGAGTTGTCCTCGGAAAGTGATTGGAAATCTCAACTAATTTGAACTTACTAGCCTGCACTAAATTATTTGAACTTCTAGCCATTAAACTAAACCTCATTAGAGCTGAACATATCAGAGCTTATTAGCAATTTACGAGTACTGAAACTTAAAATTTCAAGGTGATGTAACATATTGTAACTCCCTAGGAAAATTTCAGTTTATTAATACACTGTAGTTATTGTAATTTTGTTTTACTAGCAGGGAAAAAAACGAATTAAAATAAACAATCAAAAGCAAAACAATCCAGTGCAGGTGACATTAGGACTGAATATGTACTGATTACTCAGAGATGACCAGCAGGCTCGGTCAAAACTAAATAAATATGTCGTCAAGAATTCCATAAGAAACAACAACTTTCAAACTTGAGCTCAAGCATCATTGTGTTGTTTGTTTATGTTTCCTAGCTCGACTATATATCTTGCATAAAATGTCAACACATAAATGTTATGTTTTCCTCGAGGTATGTACTATCCATGCAGTTCAATTAGTAGAGTTTTTATCTTGGATATGTTAAAATTGTAACAGAATTTGATAGCATAATTCCAACTTCATAATTTTCACTTACCATATTATTTAAGTAATTAAAACACATTATAAATATATTAAAACTTGCGTAAAGTTCAGTTGAATATAAAAGTGCAATGCTTTAAACCTTGAATAGAGTATATCAAGGATTGACTTGATATTTTCAGTTTGTTCCAAGCTTGATGAAAATTAGATGAGCGAACATGAATACTCCAATACTCAATCAATCATGAATCCCTTGTATCTGATTTAAATGTGTAAACTAATAAGACTACAGAGCACCACCTTTGCACAATAATACAAAAGACAGATTATCTACAAGCCGACAAGCAAAGTATAGAGATAAATTAGTAAACATGGAAATTTAAATTTTAACAACAAACGTGTAGATAGGATTAGAAAACAAAGAAAGCACATATCAGGTTCCAAAAAATCAATACCTTTTTTATTCAAGTCCAGGAGTCTTGCTAATGAATGCCTACATGTCGGGTCCCTCTTCATGACATCCTCGAAACATGCAGAGAGCTCATCGTAATTGTTCACATCAAAGCACTCACAGAGACGAGCCTTTAATCTGCCAAAGCATACATAACAAAACTATGATACTCTAATCACAAATTGATCACCTCACAATTTGATAATTATTCAGGAATTGTCATTGTATCTCAACAGACAGTTGATACTTATGCATAACAATTTACTGACACATTTCTGATTTCACAATTTAAATCTTCTTAAATCATAGAGTAGTTTATAACCAAACACAAAATAGCTAACAAATTAGAGTCAAGAGTTTCTAAAGTCGCAAAAGACTATCATCACAAAGTTTCTTGCAAAGCACAGCATAAGTAGGGGGTGTTTGGTTCAAGCAGGGTAAATGGAATGGAATCCAAAAAGGGATACAAGGAGAATGGAAAGCAATGACCCTGAATCTCCCTATCTGTTTGGATTTGTCCAGAAATGGAATGAACTGATCCCTGATTGCCTTTGTGACTGTTTGGTTCAAAGCATGGAATCAGACTATAAATTTTTAAAGTCCTATTATTTTGTTACAACAATAACCTGTAGTTATATTTCATTTGCTTGCTAATCTTTGTGATAATTAAAGTGAACTCAATTTAGTATAAATTCTCTTAAATCTGAACTCTTGAGCTTAACAATTTTTTATTAACCATCATGCGATATCATGAGTGTCCAATCCATTATATTTTGTGACCAAGCTGTGATGAAAAGAAACGACTAGTTGTGCAGCTCACTACAACAATCCACAAAGCTAGTTGATAAAAATTATTGATGAGATCGATCAAATAGGTTATTGCCAAGAAGCCATACAAAACCATGTCATGAAGGTTGAAGTAGATGAGAGATTGTGAGAAAATCGTTTAACCCTTTTAATTCACATATATATCACTCACATATACAAATTTTATACTAGAAACCTCATTGCAAACTCACATATACAAAATTAATTCTAGCCAATTCAATACCAAGTTCATACAAAAAGGTGGGCACGGCTGCTGGGGTTCTAGGGTTTGAGAAGAATACCCCCAACTAAACACCCTCTTGTTCAATCTTAATTTATCATCTTTTAATGTGTCCATTATTGCAATAAGATTCACCCTTTTAAAATATAAAGTCATGCCTTTCAAACTACAAAGCAGTGAAGCACGCAGAACTGTAGAAGGTCAAGACTGCTTTCAAATCCCACAAGTATACTTGACCTAGAGATTAACATGTAGAAGGCCAATATTGCTCTAAAATCCCAAGCATCAAAGAGTCCATTGAAGATAAAATACTGTGGTCTCTCTCTTCCAGGATTTTAGAAGAAAAACCTTAGATTTGTAAGGCTTTGGGTGCCAAAAGGAGTTAACTGAAAGAAGAGAGCAGTAAAGAAACGTTAAAAAGAGAGATAAAATGTAAAAGTACAATGAAGTGCTTACAGATAAGCAACGACTTTACAGCTTGTTTGTTATATTTTTGCTAAGAGAAGGGGCTATATTCCTATAATCCTATGTCAGGTTTAATGGAAGAAGTTGAAAGAAAACATTGTTTAGTTATAATAATGGAAAGAAAAAAAGTTCTGACAGTGTATTGAAGCCTTGAAGGTGACCGTCTGCTCAATTTCTGCTATTAAAAAAAGAAGGTTAGAGAAGAAAAATTTACAAAGGGCTTTTCCCTTTTACTTCCCTTTGTTATCTACCAGATTCAATGTGTCTTTTAACACCAAAAAAGGGATGTGTCTCCCTTCCTTTATCTGCATTCCTCTTCCACCAAATATCTCCCTACCAAACGCATTGCCTTTTCCCAATTCTATTCCCAATATTGTAGTACCACATTTCAGTTCCTATTTATAGATAATCCACATGCAATTGTACACTCAATATCTTAATTAAGAGGCAAGATCATTACCTAAAAGAAAGCACTGAGCTTGACTCATTGCAGGACTGCTCAAGAATAGTTAAGGCTTCCTTACCATGACCATCAAGAAGCAACAGCTGCCAAAAGGAATTTTCAATTAATAAAGATTAAAAAAAACATTGCAATCAATGAACACATATATCCAGCAATTTACATCACCATAACAGCAATTGCACTACACCGCACCACTAGTTGGAGCAGGTATAGGTATGACATTGGTGGGTGGTGGATAGGTGTTGATAGCTAAGTCGTACTTGCCATGGGTAGTAGGTAGATATTGGATTTATAAGCATACCCGTCTCGCTTCTGCCTTGTATCCAAAACAAGTTTATCATACATTTCATCCAAATCCAAAGATAAGAAGAGTTCATAGCCCAAACTCAAAGCCTATGTCTGTATCAATGATGTGGATGGCTCATTGGTCATTACTTATTTTATGTATTTGATTTTGTATTTGTTAATTTGTTTACTCCATTTCAATTTAGTTTGCCCACTTTCCTTTTCCATCTGTCCTAGATTAGTTTGCCCATTTCTAAAATTGGCAAGGGTTCACTAATTTATATTACTCTCTATTTTTCAATACTAGAAGTTCCGATCCCATCTTGGCACACTAAGTTGAGACAAAGGGGGTAATTTTTTTTTTTAATACCACCTCCCTTACAACAACTAAAAGCTTGGCCTCTTCTTATCCTATTATACTCGATATATTTATACTACACAAGCCTTGACTTTCAAAGTGGCATGACAAAGTTAGATCCTCAAATAATAGCAAATTCCTTGCACATAGACAACCAAATTGCTACAGAAACAGGCTTAATTATTCAACATTGCATTTGTCTGCAAACCAGTTGAACCCTTCAAACTTTCTTATCCAACTTCACTAATGATAAACTCAAATTTTGTAAGGAAAAGAAATAAGGAATGTAAACTCAGATCACTGTAAAACGTATTACTCGTATTATGCATATCTGAAATGGTAAAGACTAGACATAAAACAATAAAGTACCTGTATCAAAGGAAGTAATGCTGCCACTGAGATTGGAGGCGGAGACTGAAGAGCAAGCTTTAAAAACTTCAAAGCTTCCTTGTAATGATCACCAAAAAACTGTCGACGAGAAGAGAGCATGTCCATCAAATTATCTGAAGAAGGCACTCTTATGGGCAACAATGATTGCAAGCCTGTTTTGACAAAACAAGGCTCAATATATTGGTACCAAGAGTAACGAATGAGAAATTGCACCAGCATGGAAGTAGGTCTAGCTACCTAATTATATACTTCGTATATACATAATGATAGGGCACAAAATCATGAATACAAATGGTATAATAGGATGCTAAAAAAACCAGTTGGTTTAGAAAAAGAGGTCACCAGCCCAGAAAATACTGAATAGAAAGCAATCACAGTGTAATAGACTAACCTAAGGAGGGGCAGTATGGGTATTCCAGTAATATTACTTTACATGGTTAGTAGTCCTAGTATAAATTGAGAGGGAGGCAAAAGAAAAGGGTAGGCAGAAATTTGTATTGGAAACCTAAGAGAATTATGGCCTCAAGCCATTGCTAGAGAGTGATAGCCTCAGGCTATTTTGAGAGTGATAGCCTAAAGCAATTAAACTTATCATTTTGTAAACCCTTTGCCATTTTCAATCAATATTCAAGCTTCCATCTTTATTATGTCTTCTTATTAAATCAATTTACCAAAAATTAGATTGTCTAGTTTAATCAAAGAACCAAGCTTTACTCTCTATTTTACTGTTATTTGCGTAAGTTAGCAGTAATCTCAGTCCATTACACACAGTTACCTGACTAACAGCTTTCATGTTAAACATATGACAATTTATGCTTAAAAAAACACACCTTTAGCTCCAAGCTCTTTACATCTTTTTCCTTACCTCCCTCAAACCCTGCAATTGTCATGCCTCTAGCACCATCATATTTAAGACCACAACCTGAAAAGCCCACTACCCCATACGGCCCCTGAGAAGCTATTACCACTCAGGCTAAACTAATCCACCCCACCCCATCACCACTGACCGACCACCAAGTTGTTTTCTCCTACCCCAAACCATCAAAACAGCCATTTGATACCCTTAGTTTGTGACTAATATACATTACCCTAACCTCATCCATCACAAAGTACTGCCAGCACAACTATGTCACATCTTCCTATTATGATTAGTCAAAATGGAGCCGTCAATAGAAATAGCAAGACATCATCATGCTACCACTTCATATTAAGTATCATGATCCTGGAAGACCAGAGGAAGTATCTTCCAGGAGTCCAGGACCACCAGTACTTAGGGACTGAACTATTGGATTCCATATATATATATATATATATATATATATATATATTAAAAATAAATAAAAAAAAACACACAGTGGAGAGTAATTGCTCTGAAGAAAAAATAAAGGAGAGGGGCTAGGTGAGGATAGATGATTAAAGAAACTAGAATAACACTCACTGTGTACATTATAGACAGAAGAACAATGATATTGATCATAAGCATGTTGATTTGAGCCATCAGTTTCTACACTTGATTCATCAGATCTCATATAGAAATTCTGTGACTGTTGTTTCTTGTCATTCTCAACTGGCTTGACCCCAGAAACTCCGCCATCTGGCTTTTGACTGACATTTGCACAAGTGTCCTTGTCATTCACAATAGATGTCTCTGAATGATAGTGCAATTCTGAAAATGTCTCATAAATACTGGCTGCATCCTCATCCTTCAGGTTTTCAGTTTCCTGAGAGGAGTTGGTTTTCGTAGTCACGGACTCCATAGGCATACAAGACTCTTCTAAGTTTCCCAGCCGCATGTTGTTTGGCAGTTGTGAATACCACAACTCATAATTGGTCAAACCCATTACCAAATTAGATTTCAGGTCTCTTGCGGATTCATATTCCTGCTGAAGACTACATGAATAACCAATAGAATATAAATTAAAAAATATAATACACTTCCTCCGTTCCATTTACTTGCAGCAGTTTGACTTTTGACACGATTCACATATTTTTGTTTGAAAATCATTAGTGGTTGTTACGCAAGGAAAAAAATAGTCAAGTGGGATCTTGTTAGATTCGTCACAAGGTATATTTTCACACTATCAAGTTTTTATAATATTTTACTTGATCATAATTTTTGATATCAATGGTTGAAGTTATGCATGAACAAACGTAAAAGTCAAATTTGCAAGTAATTGGAACTGAGGCAATAGTAAATAAACAAAGATAAGTAAAAAGGAAATCGGCTCCATAAAGCTCAAAAAAGAGGTTAAATATAGCAATAGCAATCATATTAAGCCTTCAACACGATACTAGAGGAAACTATTGCCAAAAAAAAACAGAAACACAAAAAAAAAAAAAAAAAAAAAAAAAAAAAAAAAAAAAAAAAAAACATTTGCACATCTATGATACACTCAAACTTCAACATCAAAACAACATTTCCTATATAATTTCCTAAGTACATAATACCAAAACTAGCTTTCGATTCTGTGCTATCATGGGAGGTTAGTCATGTTGACGATTGAGAGATAGAGAGAAGAGAAAGTGAAATTTCTGTCATATAAAATTTGGGCTCACGGTGTTTAGAGGAATTACTTGCAGTAGCAGTGTATTCAAATCTTAATCAGGAATTCATGACTTCAAATTCTAATGAGGACATTAAAAAAAAAATTTAAGAAAAATAATGCATATATAAGTGGTACGAGTAACTGGCAAAGGAAAAGGACAAGGTGATAGAGCAACTACAGTATAGAAAAAAGCAGTAGCAAAAAACTAATTTGACCCAACTACAAAATTGAATTAGGAACGCATCCATCTAAATGCACTAGAATTTTATGCAAGTTGTATTTGGCAACTGTTGCATAGAAAAAGGGAGTAAATTATACCTGTGCAAACTAAGACGGGCAGAGTCATGGTTATTTCGTGCAAGGCAGAAAAGAATGTACTCCAACAGAACAGATCTATCCTGTCAAATAATACATAGTAAGAATCTACACATGTATAAAGTAATAATGAAGCTTAAACCAGACAAAATATAGATTACAGAAGCCCCCACAACCCCACCCCAAAACAAATAAAAGCTTCTTATGTATTCATCCAATTGTCTGGGTACCTGACAGAAGAAGCTACTCAAAAACATAACTATCCTCTGAGATGTTCATTGTATAATGAAGGTGCATTAGCAAGATATTTGTTACCATCACAACTTTTGCAGGATTTCCCCTTCTCATACTATGTTGAATTTACCTTATTTAATTCTATTGAAAAGAAATACTCCTACACCACAATCCTGGTGAAGCAAGGGAGCCATAAGCCATTCCATTCCTTGTAACCAAAACGATCCCAAAGTAAAAAAGAAATAAATAATATTCCATAGCTTAAAACCATTAAAATGCCAAGATAAACAAGAGTAAGCGTTCATATCTTTTAAACATGCTGCTGTATTAGCTATCAATTGAGCACAATGGAGGATAACAGTATTACACCTCTGTCAGGAGGAACAGGTATAAAACAATATTATAGTTTGATGGGTGGTAATGTTTGGATTGCAAAGTAAATATCCACCCCTGAACTGAAATAGGCATGAAATTGACACATTATCAACCCCACTCCCGTGTACCCTGGTCCCGCATTAATTTGGTTACCCACTTAATACATAGTAAGCCACTATGTACAATAATAGATTTTCAAAACAATCAAAAGTCATAATTTTATTTAGATGTATTCCTTTTGGATTTTTTTTTATTACTTTTGCAACAAACAAAGACGAAGTAGGTCTTAGGAAGTAGTTAGGTAATGTGCAGTGCATCTGCCTTGTGATGGAGCAACGGCAAATGCAACTTTGATCTTTTGCCTACTTGTGCAAGTGTAATTACAAGTATTAAACTGGTCACGAGTAGCAAGCAGGTGGCGGATGTAAGAATTCAACTCACAATAATAATTGGCAATTACTAAAGGTCAAAACGGAACTTTTCTACAGGTTAACAAGGCCCAGCTGCAAGATCTCACAAAATGGACAATGCATTCTGATTTTTAAGCACCAAGAAAGAATACCGGATGTAACTTATGGGCATTATAAAAATCCACAAAACTTTTAACTATTTTCCAAGGACAATTGTTACATTGGTAAAACTGAAAGCCTCAATATCTGTTCCCTCAAACCCCCAATAAAAACAATTTCATAAGAAATGCATACAGAAAAGCAAATGAAATGGCTACCATTACCAACAGTTTGATCAGGTTTTATTTGGAAGACTCCCATCCAACAAGTTTAAGCTTAAAGGAACTTCAAGAACGATAAATTAGCGTGACAGGAACTTATGAAAGCCAACAGTTTACAAGACTTTTCCAAAATATTCAAGAACAATGAATGGTTAAACTTATGAAAGCTAATAGTTTACAAGACTCTTTCTGGTCCTAACTGTTGCTTTTTCGCTGTTGCCAGAACAAACTTCAACAGTATTTCCTCTTGCATATTTGACTTTTTAAGACAAATTCAGCAACAGAATTATTACAATATCATTCATCATAAATTTTGACCTTGATTATTTCCTAATTGTTGCTTTTTCATTGTCACCAGAACCTGACTTTTAATCAATACGAGGGAAATCAATGTTGAAGAGAAATAATTGGTAGACATAAAGATGCTTAATTAGGTACATTTCTTCTATCAAATTAGTTCTTCCTCCTAGTATTTTCAAAATAATGTCTTCCTCCTTTGATTCTCAATGCCTTCCTCTCCTCCCCCTGCTTTATTCATCATCACATATTCAACCTTGTGGTCTCTTTTTGAGGGTAGCCCAATGATAATAGGGTTAGGGCCAAGCTTAAAAGGCCCTTAATGGACAGGGTCTTTCATTAAAAAACGTGAAAGACCCTTAATGGACAGGGTCCTTATTGGGGTACGGATATAGGGCCAAAATGTTTGTCCAATTTGATACATAAAGAAAATAGATAATGTAAAAAAAAAAAATTATGATATTTTCGTATTCATATATAATTAATTATGGCTTTGTCCGATATTTAGTTTAATTGATACTTTATTTACTACTAGCACTTCATATGCATGCTCACCTAATAAGAGAATTAAAAATAGGCTAACTGATGATAAAAAGGTATACAATTTCACTCTTCATGCTTTAAATGATGTGATTTAACATAAGATATACCTTCAATGGCCTCCTCTTGTTAGATTTTATCTTTTCCTTCCACGTATCATACAAGTGCTCAATCCTTGATGAGTAAAGATCTAAATTACAATCCATGTGTTGAAGAAGCTCCATAGCGACCTATGACAACAAAAACATAGATTGCTTGTCAAGAAGATTGCATTTGCTAGCAGTGAACAATGATATTACTTAGATACAGGGAATAACACTTTTGCAACTGAGGTTAGAGTTAACAACACTATAAAGAAGACCTTGCTACCGATAAGGTGTCTAAGGAGGTTCAATCTGTGTAGATTCACCTCTAGTTAATTAATGCTAGTTGAGCGGGTCTATCTATGAAACACGGATGATACATATTTTCACAAGAAGAATGCAAACTTTAGAAGGAAAAAAATGTACACACACACTCAAATATAATTATTACCAAAAACATAAAGATAACTACATTAAGGTACAATACAAAAATAAAGTATATATACAAACTTACAAAGACAAAGGTAATAGGGCCTATAGGGATGCCAAGTTAACAACTCTAGAAGAAGACCATCAGGGCACCAGGCACCACCAGTAAACAGGGATAGTGGGAGGGAAAGTCAGAAGGAGAAGAGGGGAATAAAAAAAGTAGGATGTTTATGATGGGATTATTAAGTAGTTCTGGAATATGATGCATCTTAAAACTTTTGTTGCTCAACTTTGTCCTACAAGACTAGGTACCAATTCCAAGACGGATCTGATTGAATATTAAAAAAACTTGTCATGTTGTATGGTTTAAGTCATAGTAGAGTATATTTTCATAAGAGTTGCAATGTTTCCTATAAATACAATTGAAGGGTATCTTAGGATAGAGTTTCTTGCACAAGTCCCTTTTTTCAACATTACTACCTTATGTAGCAGTTCTGTATGCTGTTCTAATAGCATTGTGGAATTTAGTGCAGAAATCAGTACTCGATATCTTAGTTTAATCAGACCTTCTAATCTACCCTTTGGATTATATTTCCACTTCCAATCCATTTATAAACTCCTGATAAGAATTAGGCCAGCCCTAGTTTAATAGATTCTTCATTAGTCTGTACTCGTATTAAAGTAGGTCTGAATACTCTGAACCAAAGTCATGCCTTAGTACTGAATATTCATAACAACTTTTAAAAAAAAATATATATATATATATATATATATATAAATAAATAAATAAATAAATAAATAAAAAAAACCCTACATGGTTGTCAATCATAAGACTCATAACAGATTAAATAGATTAGTCCAAAACACATCACCAATCACTATGCCACTAAAAACTACCATCAATGCCGCCACATCAGTTCTTCTTGGCTAGTTACTAGTCCTTACTACGACGAATAACAATTATGCACATTTCAGTTATCGGTTCATAGTTCTTAAACTCACATGAAATAAATTCCTATGTTACATGTAATATTGTAATGCAATCTCAAATGCAACTATGCAAGAGACAGATATACAGGTATATATTACTGAAAACAAATTTTTCGGAAGTGAAAGCCCCGAAAGTGATTAAATACATACCCAATACTTGAAACGGTTGCTCTGCGGTGCTTTCTCTCTACAAGTCCCTTGTAAAAGCGCACTTAACACTCCACTAGCATCGACCCAATTGCGTTGTACCACAAGCTTGCGAAGAAGGTACCGCAACCGGATACGATTTTCATGGCACACATTCATCGAACCGACTTTTAGGGTATACGTAGGTACGGTCAATAACAACGCAACTCGCTTGAAAGATCTCCTTCCCCCGTATTCAATTTATGGGGCATTCTGTGTTTTATTTCAACCTCTTTTTTGTCATCTAAAACATCATCTAGGTTTGATGTATGCAGATTATCATCTTCCATATGCAAATTATCATCTTCCAATTTCATAGTTCCGTCCTTTAATTAATTAATTAGGGTTCTGCAACACATTAGCAACCAAATTTTAATTCAATTATGAAATTAGAATTCTTAGCAATAAGCAGGCCCGTCCCTGAGGCAGGGCAGGAGGGGCGGCCGCCCTAGGCCCAGGGAAAAGAGATTTAATTTCATATTGAATTATCTCGAAAAATACATAATTTTAGGGATATTTGATTCAATAATCAAATTACGCTCATAATTTTCTTTTCTTTTGGATATGATGTTTCGTAATCTAAGAATTTACGAACCCTAAACTTAAAGCACTGATAATTAAATTAGATTAGATCAAATATAAACCCTAGATTGTGAAATTGATGTGATGATAACAACAACAAACAACTTACCTTAGAAGCTGCTTCAAAGGGGGATACAAGAATTAGATTCAACGGAAAACGCTTCAATGGAGAACGTTGAGTGCGCTTCAATGTAATAACTCAGAGAGGTGGGAAAATAGGAATGGAGGGCCTTTAAAAGCCATGACCTGCCGTAATTATAAGAAACTAGCTGGTTTATTTTATTTTATTTTTCTTATAATCTACAAGGACCTCCCTTCTTAGTTGACACTGGACATGGATTTTTTTAAGGATTTGACTTAGCAACGTATGGTTTAGTGGATTTAAATAATCATTCTTTCTTGTGTTAATTTGGTATGCTCGACACTACACTTACACTTGCTAAAATTAAAGAAATACTTAAATATTTATTATCTAAAGAACTTCAATTCTCATTGTCCAATGGTTAGAAGCTAAGTTTGCTAAGTAATACATAAGAACATTCAAAAAATAGAAAAGAGAGTATATGGACCACTAATTTGTACATAATAGCCATATCGAGAAACAATTGTGCGGCAATTTCTCACAAGAACAAAAAACTGACTTTTTTTTATCTAATATGTCATTAACGTCTCTCTTTTACAATTTACTACTCTATATTTGTTGTTTTTTTAAGAGACATTTTAAAATGACATCAATATGCGTTATAAAAATAACAAAATGACAATCGCTTAAAAATACTTATCCGAAACATGTGTTATTGTTTGAAATCTACAGTGTGATTCTGAAAATATCCCTCTATTTATTTTTTCTTACAAAATTGCCCCTGCTGTCTTGATCTATTAGTCAGCTTCTTTTCCTCTACCTTTCCCAAATTCCCTTAAGCCATTTATCTCTTTGACTTCATTTTCCATTTCCAAATTCCCACTTTACTTGTCTCTCTCCTCTATTTCATTCCATGATTTCGCCTTCATCTTAATCTCCCCTCAAATTCTTTACCAAACCAAATTTCAAAAAATCGACGAATTGAGCAGCTCTAATTATAACCAATTTTAATGTTTTTTTTTATTTTTATTTCGATCAGCACAATAGAAAAACATGCAAATTCAGATAATCAAAGAAGATTAAAGGTTTTAGAATTTTGCCTCTCTCCAAATTGTTTGTGATTAATCGACGAATTTGGGGGTTGGGTTTAATTTGAAGATTTGAAGAAGGATTATATTATCAATTGGAAATCCTCCCCGATCAACAACAACGAAGAAGCAAGATCAAAAATGGGTATTTCTTATTTTTTATTTCCCATTATAAATCAATATATACTCTAAATTATAGATTTTTGAATGATGGGTGTTGTTTAATTAGTCTTAATTTTCAATGATTTTATGACTTGGATTTGATTGGATTGAATACTTATATATTTGATGTTGTTGTTGTTTTTTTTTTTTTTTTCAATTGCAATTTGCATTTGAACAAATATGAACAAATCACAATTTAAGCCAAAACATATGAACAAATCAAAATTTGCTTAAATTTACAAATGTGAACAAATGGCATCCTTGCTCAATTTGGAAGCTTATGTGCAAGAAGAAACATCAAGAATGCAACCACGGCGAAAACTGCACCTACAACCTCTCTACCTCTCCTGTGCTGAAACAAACAATAATAATAGGAGTTGTTATTCGTCGCCCGCATTTCTCCACATAACACCCACAAATTTTAGTTTTTTGACATTTTTGTCATTTTCATAATTTTCACCCAAAACGCAATTTTACATCCTGAAAAATGTTCCGCTCGCATGGATCATTATACACCAAAAACATTTTATATTACATGAAATAAATTATACAAACTCATTTACGTAAGATAAATTAACAAATTACGTGAGATTATAATATTATAATTTCACGTAATTTGTTAATTTATCTTACGTAAATGATTTTGTATAATTTGTTTCATGTAATATAAAATGTTTTTGGTGTATAATTAATGATTCACGCGAGCTGAACATTTTCGCAGGACGGCGTCGGAGCCGAGGATGGTACTATCGCAGGGATCAAGTCAGGCTCTGCTGGGGCCAGGCATGTCTCCGCTGGTGTCTGCCTGTACTGCGATAGGGCTAACCGTCGAGGTCCCAAAAAAGTGAACCTAGGTCACAACAGACAACCGAGAAGGGGCTGGGCATGCAAGAACGCTGCTGGGGCCAACCGTCCAAGTCTAAAAAAGGTGAAACCCAGTCGTATCAGACGACTGAGAAAAGAGTTTGTCTCTGGTCGTCGCGTGAGAGCCTCAATGTCGACTAAACAAGAAAAAACAAAAAATTTCAATTTTAGTTTTGATGAAATTGAAATAAACAAAATTAACACTACTACAATAAGCCTAATACAACGGAAGCTGCTTGTTATTTCTTTTGGAAGTGGTTACTATTACTCCTTAGCTTTCAATTGTGTTGCTTGTTTATCTTTTTTAATCATCAATCATGTTTGTTTTCAATTTAGGAGTTTTACTTGCTTTCAATTGTGTTGCTTCTTAAAGTTTTGTTTTCAATTTAGGAGTTTTACTTGCTTTCATAGTTTTATGCAATGTGATTCTCGGGTACATAGACTTTTTTTTTATATATATATTATGCATCCTGAATAAATACATGGTAATGAGTTTATTTTCATTGAATTCAAAATTTTCAATATGTTTGGCAGGCGAGTATTTGCTTATTTTATTTGATGATGCAGGTTGATGATCATGTTAGTTTAGTAAGGAGGATTTGAAGCCAGTGAAGGATACAACTATAGGAATGTTGCTCTATATCAGGATGTGAATCAGAACCATTTAAGCAAGATGATTTTGTTGTGTAACAAAGGATAGTGCTTTTTAATTTTAATCAAAGGTAGCTTTTATTTCCAGAAAGAATATGCGGTACAAGATATGGCATTCGTTGATGTATACAATTTTTTTTTGAGGGAATATGTTATACAAGTTTAAGGCATATTACAAATAAATGAATAAAATTTTGATCAATCTTATTTTTTTTCTTCAAAATATCACTCAATTTTGAATATAATACTATTTTTCAAGTGGATATTTTTTTAAGGGCGAGCAAATTATTTAGGCATGAGAAAACTAAATAGAGGTGAGCAAACTATTTAAGATAATGTAATTCGAATATGATTTTAGGGATGAGCAAATTCTTTAAGGGTGAACAAAGTATTTAAAGGTAAGCAATTTATTTAGGAGTGACGTAATTTATATATGATTTTTAGAGGTGGACAAACTATTTTGAAGGGAGGTAATTATGATTTATGAATGACATTTAGGAGTGAGAAAACTATTTAAAGGTGAGGTAAATTGAGTACAATGTTAATATACTTTAAGACAATACGATTAATCATATATATGTACTTAATTTAGAGGTGATCATTGGGCGGGCCAGGCCGGGCCAAGCTTTGGGTCGGAATTTTTGTGCCCAAACCCGTCCAAAATGGCCGGGCCGTGCGGGCTTTTTAGGCCATTTTCGGGTCGGGCCTAAAAAATCAACTAAATATCCATAAAAAAAGCATTCCCAAACCCGCCCAAAAAAAAATCGGGTCGGACCTGACCGAAAAATTCTGCTCAAAACCCGACCAAAATCAGGTCGGGCCAACTTTGATCACCTCTAACCTAATTACAAAACACTTATTCTTATGTTTTCCATCAAATATCAAATTATAATAAAAAAAATAATAGCAATAATTTCTACGCCGTAACGATATACACCTTCACTTAAACTACATATTACCGTATTTATCGACACTTCACATTATTTTAGGGCTATCGCGCACGATGGCTCAACTAATATGATTAAATATTCTGGGATTATTTCAAGGTAAATGATTTTTTTTTAGTTATAGTAAACATGAAAAATCAAACTAATTTAATAAAAAGCTTGGATATTCAATTCAAACAAATTTTAGTTTTTTTTTTTTGACGGGGAAAAAAATAAAAAACAAATTTTAGTTTATAATCACAGAAAATTATCTAGTATCCTAAATATTGTAACAACATTACAGCATGTATTTGAATAACAATTCTCCATTCATATTATCCGATTATAATCCCCTCTTTAAAATCCTTGGTAATCTTTCAGAGCCAGAATACAAGCAACTAAAATCACATTTGCAAAAGAACTTGGACAATATACAATAATTTTCAGTCGATCATGAAAAATTAATATCGCTAATACATTAATAAATTTACACTGAAAGTATAATGTAAGAAATAATTTGCAAATAAACTTAGAGAGAAATATTACCGTCGTTTAGATTAGCGGCTTCCAAAGAAAGAGTCGCCAAAACGAACACCACCAGTACACAAATAATCAAAAAACGCATCGACATTGCCATCTTCAATTCTCACTGGAAATCGAAAAAACTGCAGAAATTATTGTAGAATCAATTACATGAAAACCAATAATCATAAAAACATAGTTCCAACATGAATTATACTTGAATACGAAAATAGAGTTTGAAAGATAAAAAAAATACACGTAAATTAATCAAAATAAGCAGAAATACGGCATTAACAATCAAATATCACAAGAAATCTAAAGAACAAAGATAAACATGAAGCTCAAAATTCTGCAAAAATTATACCTGAAGAAACAAAATTCGATTACGAACGAACAAACGAAATTCAACCAAGAATGGTCGAATCAAACAAAATTATGTGAAATTGAAGTATCAGTAGGTTGCAAGAAAGAAGTGAAGTGCGTGAATGACGAAGAATTAAGCAAAAGCTTGAGTAGTAACAATGGCGGTTAGGGTTGAAATGGTGAGAATGAGGAGAGAGAAAGTGGGAGTGTGAGAGTTTGTTATTGCAGAGGAGAGAGAAAGCGGGAAATCCAGTTGTTGTAACCGTTTTTAAGGGTGGGCCCAAAGAAAGGTGCCAAGTCAGCTGATACTGTAAGAGAAAGGCCAAGTTAGCTGCTTTGAGTGATTATTATTATTTTATTAGATGAAAGCCCATGCAATGCACGATTTTTCATACATATATCTCAAGAAAAGATATTTTCCTATATACTCTAAGTTTTTTTTTTATATTTATTTGATTTATTATACAATTTAATAATTTCAGACAAAAAACAAATAATAATTTAATTAAAATGATATTGCCAATTACAAAAGTATAATTTTTTTAATGTAATTTATAATGCGACTTAATTTATTGTTGTTTTGTATTTTATTCGTTGTTCTTAGTTATATGACAATAATATGATATCTTTCAAAAAAAAAATTGTAAATATGATATTGCATTGATTACATATTAGGATAAAATCTTTAATGTGAAAAGATAATAATTTTTTTATTTTTAAAATAATTTAAATCCTAAATTATTATTTGTTGCTATTTACACTTGAAATTAAACTCTC